CTTGAATGGTTTGGGCCTAAATGGAATATATTTCAAAACATAAATAGAAGTTACATTATATAACGTCCCAGCTGCTAGGTCTGGTTCAGCAGAAGCTTGAAGAACAGCAGAAGAGGGTGGGCAGTAACCAAGTGTGTAAAATGAGTTCCATCTTTTGAGATGTTCAACAAAAGCAACAGAGAGTGCTCAGAGCACTGATTGGGACAACACTGATTTTTCGACCCTTAGTCTGTCATGGCTTTGCATTATTTCTTATCAACTCCAATGACAAATTTCAGTCTTTTTGTTATTGTGCCCCTACATTCCTAACATGTTCCTCCAACCTGTCTCCCAACTTCCTGCTTCATTCCTGCTTCCTTGACAGATGGGTCATACACAGTGAAAATTTCTTTTTACTGTCTGACTCATTCTCCCATCCCAATTCATACTCATCTTGTTTGTCCTGAGGCATTTTACTTCTGACTGTTCCTCTACTAACCCTTTTGGTGTGCAGCATGAAATCTCCATTCATTGGAAGCAATCTCTGGTACATAAATAACATGACAGAAGACACTCTACAAATAATAACTGAAAAAGATTTATTATTCTTATCCTCTGCATTTCCTTAGTGCTAGTTTTCACTTTCCTGCCCTACCTAAAACCTAGGCATTCTTTGTTCTGATGATATTACTTCCCTCCAAACTTTCTTCAACGTGGTTTGTGTGTTTGTCTATGGGGGGGGGACTTTCTCTAGTGGGGAAACAGTCTTCCCACCTCCCAGCTCACAGGAGTCAGCTAACTTCCTGTTCCTTATAGGTTTTTAGACAGCAGAGAAAGAGTCAGAGGCAACAAAAAGATTGATGATAAAAGCAAGAGAGAAAAAAATGTATAAAGAAGATCCCAAAGGAGATAGGGAGAGAATACCATTGAGGTCATGGGTAGAGTCATTGATATAAAGAGGAAAAAAGGATTTTGTTTTGTCTGGAGATGATGGGAGGTAAAGACAGTACGAAATTCTGAGATAATGAAGTTCACAGGTATAATGTCCACCTTTTTAGTAAAGCAAAAATGGAGGTTATTTACTGAGGTAGGTGGGCTAGGCTTGGATGTCTAAGAAGAGTAGAAATGATTTGAAGTAGTACTTTTGGTAAACATGGTCAGGAACCACCAAATAAGGTTGCAGAATGACAAAACAACCTACCTACACTACCTCTCCCATCCCCAAAGGACAAAAAAGCTACTCACAGTTTATCTCTCCTTTAGCAACCCAGCAAGGAGTCAGGCTAGGAAGAATCCATACAAGGAAAGGCTAATATGAGGATGATCCATTAGGGGACAAGGCCCACTCTTCCAAGATAGAACCAAGTGTTCATCTTTCGACTCTCGCTACCAACTGCCCTATTTCAGGCTCTCATCAGATGAGCACAGCAACTGCTTCCTACCAGTCACCTAATCTTCCAGCTTTTCTCCCCTCAGATTCATCCTTCATTGCATTTATTACTCTATTGTATTTATGTTTAATTAACTGTCTTACCCAATAGGCTATGAGCAACTTGAAGGCAGCTTCTGAGTCTTCTCTGTGCCCTTGGGGTCTAGCATAGACAATGGTGTGTAGTAGGCATTCAGTGAAGGTTCTTTGAATGCAGACCACTGGAGTGATGTCTCTAAAACATAAGCCTGATCATGACACTTGCCAGTTTAAAATTTTAAAATGATCCTTAACATGGCATTCCAGAACCTCCATGGTATGATCCTTGTGAGTTTCTATAGCTTTATCTACTGCCACCTTCTCCCCTTTCCCACCCATAGCCCTATCCTAACTTAGACATACTTACCTAGTACTTGTAGTCCCTTAGCAAGCTGTGATATCTGACCTTTGTGCTTTTACACATGGTTTTTCCTTACCTGCAATGTCCTATTTTTGTCTACCTAGCAATGTCCTGCTCAGTGATACCAGGGCGGGTCTTGAGCATTCTCCTGCCAGTTATCAATGTGGGGGCTAAAGTCAAAACTTGTGGCCCAACTTACTTTTATCTTTCTTTGCCCTCCTCAAAAAAATAGTTGAGTCTGGGCACGGTGGTACACACCTATAATCCCAGCACTGAGCCCAGGAATTTGAGACTAATCTGGGCAATATAGTAAGACCTGTCTTTATTAAAACACACACACACACACACACACACACACACACACACTCCAGCCTGGACGACAGACTGAGACCCTAACTCAAAAGAAAAAAGTAGAGGCTAGCCTATGTGCTTGTGAGGTGTGCTGGTGAGCTGGTAAGTGAATCAGATCCCCCCATGTGTTTGGTGTGTGTCTGTCATAGTCTGTACCAAACCAAACAATTTCTCAGAATGTTCCCTCTGGTCTTGTAGCCAACGCCCCACTCCAAGTCATTCCAAGTCAGTTGTAAAGGACTCCAGGGGCCCTGGGTCTAGATAGTATTGATAAACACTGTAAGTTACCAGGACTGCAATGGGGGCTGAGATGCAGGGTAAGATCTGGGCATGGCTGGGTAGCTAAGAAATGTTCTGTTGAGGGTCTATAGGTGGAGAAGCTGAATGTGCTTCCAAAAGCCCCTTCAGAAATCAAAGGCTCTTTTGGCACCTGCTTAGGGCCTGGTTGCTGCTGTTTGGGCCAGACAGGAGGGTCTACTCACTCAGCATTGAAATCTTGATGGAGGAAGTAATTGTTTTCCAATTTGCTTGTTTGAAGAGGAGATAAAGCCTTATTTCTAGCCTTTTACTGAAACCAGCAGCTTAAGTTTTAAAAATTCCCTCTCAAAAGAAAACACCCACACATGCACAATAGCTATTTTTTAGCTGAGGGTTTTCAATAATAATAATGATGGTGATCACAGTTAATGTTGATGTATTATATATTGCAGAATTGCTACAAGAATAGATTTTTAATGTTCTTACCATGCAAAAAAGATAAGTTTTGTGAGGTAATGGATATGTAATTAGCTTAACTGAATCTTTCTACGTTGTATACATAGATCAAAACATCACATTGTACCCCATAAATATACACAATTATTTGTCAGTTAAAAAATAAATAATATTATAGACTGTAGTTCCATCCAGGTTGCTGCGAAATTCATGATTTTGTTCTTTTTTATGGCTGCATAGTATTCTATCGTGTATATGTACCACATTTTTTTAATCCCGTCCTCTTTTGATGGACAGCATGGTTGCTTCCAGGTTCTTGCTATTGTGAACAATGCTGCTATAAACATACGTATGCAGGTATCCTTTTGATAGAGTGATTTGAGTTCTTCAGGGTATATTCCCAATAGGGGGATTGTGGGGTCATATGGGAGGTCAATATTTAGACCTCTCACAGAAACAAAGATCTGAGTATCACATGTTCTCACTCATATAGTGGACCTTGAACATCCAACGTAATACTATAGGAAAATGACTGACAGTGGTGGGAAACTATGGGGGGGGAAGGGAGATGGGATTAACGGTAGTAAATATCTGCCTGGGGACAGGGAAACACCTCTTATCAACAAGGGTACCTGAATGAAGCATATTTGTATACCTAACCCTTAACTGTACCCCACAATATCATAATAAAAATATTGATTATAAAAAATAAAAAAATAATAAAAATACCGTATTCATTTAAAAATTGCACAAAAGTGAAGAAAAAATGCAACTCTAAAAAAATAATAATTCTCAGACCTTTAGATACTTTGTAAACACTGGTCCCAGATCCTATGGGCCAAGAAGTTTTTGGTTTTGGGGGGTTTTTTTGAATCATGGTCTCACTGTTGCCCAGGCTGGAGTGTGGAGTGCAGTGGCACAATCATGGCTTACTGCAATCTCAAACTCCCAGACTGAAGGAATCCACCCTTCTTAGCCTTTGGAGTAACTGAGACTACAGGCATGTACCATCATGCCCAGCTAATTTTTCAACTTGTAGAGAAAAGGTCTTGCTATGTTGCCTATGCTGCTCTCGAACTCCTGGGTTCAAGCAATTCTTCCACCTTGGCCTCCCAAAGTGCTGGTATTACAGGCATGAGCCACTGCACCCGGCCCGTTTTCTATTCTAAGTTCCATTACCGTCAGAGCATAAAAAGTTTGACAGGCAAATCAGTGAAGTTAAGTAACCCACCCCCAAACCAATCTTTCTTTCTCTCATATACACCCTGTTCTCAGAAATGGAGGGAGGAAAGAAGGATGCTTCTTTAATACTTTGCCCTGGCCTGGAGCTGCTAGGGTTTAAGTCTACTATGTTTGTGTAGAAGAATGGGGATGGAAGCTTTCTGACTGCTATTTATCCACCCATTCATCCATCCAATTTATTCATTCAACATATATTTATTAAGTAACCTACTGTGTGCTGGGCACTCAGTAAAGGGATATAATCTTCTCCAATCTGTTAGTGGCTTGTCCCAGGTTTCTCAGGGTGTTTGGAGCACATACCTTCTTCTCTTTAACAAGGGTGACAGTTGAACGAGTAAGGGATGGTATGGACAAAAGCAGGAGGGTGACTAGGGTCATCATTAAAGGAATGTATGGAGGAGCTGTATTTTTTCAGATCATTCAGGATCCATTTTGTTTCCCCCACTTGTTGAGGCTTTTTCTATATGTAAGATCTAAGAGGGAGTGAAGACGGGACTTAGGGGTGACTGGAAGACTGCTCTGGGTCCAAGACTGTACCCTGAGTACCAGTGACAGTTCTAGAGCCTAGAGTTTCAACCCCCAACACAGAAACTGAATTCTGGACTGGCTACTGAGGTGCCCCTGCCAACTGCTGGCCCCAAAGTTGGTTTTGGCTGTGGGCTAGATCTGTGTAAGTTGGGGCCCAGGGTCTTTGCTCAGCCCAGCAGCTTGTATTGATCTCCAGGGCTCTTTTGTCTCCTCCTCCCCAGTGGAAGACTCTCCCCCTCCCTCTCTCTCCCCCTTCTTTCTTTGCCTCTCAGACTCTTCCGCTTTCCTCTTCTGCTTCTAATGAAGTGAAATCTCCAAGAGCCGCCACATTTCTGGTAGTTTAACAAAACTGTCCTTGCTCTTTCTGCGTTTGCCCAGTCAAGGGTATCTTTGCCTGAGGTCGGAGTGATGCTGTTAGTACTGGTGATATGATTGCATAGCAACACAGGGCAGCTCCGAGAGGGGAGGAGGAGGAGAAGGAGAAGGAGGGCAGGGAAGTGGGAGAGACAGAGGGAGAGTGTGCATACAGCAGCTGTCGGCATCCCTGTCTCAGGGACTTCTTTGCTGATTCACAGAGGCAGCCCAGCCCCGGCCTTTCAGCTTCCAGCTGCCGCCTGCTTCTCAGACCTGACGGAATCAGAAGGTAGGCCACAGAGAAATTATTTCCAAACCTCACCCTTGTTTGACTGGATGAGGGGAAATGACTGAGGGAGGGGAAGCTCCCAGAGGTACTGTGTGTGTGTGTGTGTCTGTGTGTGTGTGAGAGAGAGAGAGAGAGAGAGACAGACAGACAGACGGACAGAGAGAGAACGCGCATGCGAGAGAGTGCCTGCCTGCCTGTCTTCCTGCATGTGCCTTTGGGGGAAAACTTGCATTTAAAAATGCCCACAATGAAGTAGTCACTGCTTGGATTCATAAAGAAAAACAGATACCCGGGAATAGAAATTCAACCAATTTGAGCAACTGTGGTCAAAAAATGAGTAAAGAAGGTCCACAGTTTGTTTCTTTGAGAAGACAGGGGTATTTATTTATGTATTTATTTTAGGTTCTCAGTGACATGCTTTTGTCCAAGGGTAGATTTCCTGTCAGGAGGGTAGGGAAGATGTGTGCAAAGCACTGGCTGAAAAGGGAAGAGAGAAAATGTGGGACCTTGGATCAGGTTCCCTGAACAAATGAGTATTCTGGCCAGTACACAGGACACAGGAGTTCTTCCCTGAAGTCAGTCAGGCTCTGACCTAAGAGTCTGGGGCTGAAGGGCTCATCAGATCTCTGCATTTACTTCCTGGCTCCCTGTTCTTCTTGTTACATTTTCCCCTCTTGTATTCTCCTTGGTTTCCTTTCTACCTATAGTAATCAGCAGGCATCTCTCCACTCTCAAAAGCATAGCTTGGAGTGGTTTGAAATAAGGCTTACTTCTCTTGGAGTGCAACACCCCATTTCCTTTTGCTCTAACTGCCTTTCCCAGCATCAGGCCAATCACCCCAGCCTGGTAAGTGAACCTGAGATGATATGGGTAGTTAGTTAAGGTTTATCCTCCCTTTGGTAGGCAGGTCGAGGCAGGCCTCATGGGTTTTGGGTCCAAGCAAGTGGTGGGGCTGGGGCTAGGGCTAGGGTGGGGTGAAGTAAGATAGAGGAGGAGGGATGTCTGCAGCAGCTGCTGCTGGCTTCCATTAAGAGCATGGTGTATGCTGTCTGGAAAAAAAAACATACTTTTCTCTTATGTTTTCGTTTTGATTGTCAAAAGAACAAAAGCCTTTAAAAAGCTCTATGTCTAGTTCATCTTAACTCCTGACTCTTCCAGGGGAATCCTTGTTTCTTGATGAAAGCCCCTCAGGTAAATTACCTTTTAAAAGGCCCTGTGGGAGACACAAACCTAAGGAGAGATTTTTCTTTTAAGGTTTGGGTGGGGAGATGATCCCAGAGAATCTCAGGGCCTTCTAAGGAAACCCCCCTGAAAAGGAAGTGTTGGAAGTAGAAGTGTTGGCTGTCCCGTCCCTGGAAGAAGACCAAGCCCTTCTTTCTCCTGGTGGGCAGGGCTCTGCCTTGTAATTCTGCTTTCTATAAAGTATTGCAGGGGGATGAAGGCTCAGGGTAAGAACTCCTCTTTCTGTGTTACTTGTACTTCCGGGCATTCAGCCCTAGCTAAGTAGCTCCAAACTCCAGGTCAGATGACCCTTCAACTCTGCCATCACCTCAAGGGGGAGCATGGCTTGAAGCACAAACCTAGCAAAGGTCCCGAGCCAGATGCAGAGAACACACCTGGGATGCAACCCGCCTAACCATAGATGCTCAGAAGTTTCTGATGTTGAATTTGCTACAGTGCCAACCAGGATGGGATCTCGCTAATGAAGTCTAAGAAGATAACCTTCTAAACTTCTCAGGGACACTCACTCAGAGAAAGCATACTCAGTGGAAATTATACTATGTAACTACATTCCTTCCTTACAAAGGATTCTAAACACATATCAGCAACTAAAATAGCGAGTGAGATAAATCTTAGGATAGCATTTACCAAACCAATGTTCTACAGATCACTGTTCTGGGAGAATGTGAATGGATTGTGTTTTAAAATAAGTGTTGAGTATGTGTATGTGTGCATGTGTACATTCTATGGTCCAACACTTTTTGGGAAATGCTGCTTTTTTTTTTTTTTTTTGAGTTGGAGTCTCACTCTGTCGCCCAGACTGGAGTGCAGTGGCCGCTCCCGGCCACCGCAGCCTCGACCTGCTGGGCTCTGGCGATCCTTCCGCCTCAGCCTTCCAAGTAACTGGAACTACAGGCACGTGCTACCACGCCCGGCTAGTTTTTGATTTATTGTAGAGATGAGGTCTCACCAAGTTGCCTAGGTGGGTCTCGGACCAGGCATTTCACTCACCTCAGCCTCCCAAAGCACGGGATTACAGGCTGAGCCACCCAGCCCGGCCTGGAAATGCTTCTTAATGAAATTATCCTCTTGGGGAGTCATAATGTATATAAGGCATATTAAAGGCTCTGAGAAGTACTGTTGTAAATAAATTTGTTTACTTTTGTTTAACCTAGTATATCCCAAACTGATTTGACCAGGGAACACTTTTCTATGTGGAAAACACTTTAGCATTTTGCAGATATGGTTTGGGGAATTGCTGCTCAAAAAATGCTGGAAGAAACAGCCACATGGATAAAACTTGTAAAATGATCTACTCTAACACTGCATTTTAAAACGTGAAAAACCCAAGAAGTTAATCAAATTGTTTTGCTTCTCATAACTGCTGAGTATCTGAGGTTGTCTCCTGCTTTCCAGCTCCCTGTGCCTGACTGCTGCTTCCTTAGCAGGTTCCCTCCTGTGACACTAGTGCCAGGAAAATGAAGCAGATTTAAGAAATAATCCTTTAATTTTGAGGGAACATTTGTATTCAATACATTTCTTCTGGTATTGTTATATATAAAAATTACCAACTTTCTTTGTTTAAAAGAATACAAATTGTATTCTTTTAAACAATGTGTTATAAAATATTTTGTGCATTCTAAAAGATATAAAGAATAATATAATAAATATCAGAGTACTCACTGCCCAGCTAAGGAAAAAATCACCAGTAGATTTGAAACCTTTTATCTATTCTCCCATGATTAAAGCTGCTCACCTTCCTCTGAAGTAACCACTATACTGGATTTAGTGTGTATTATTCCCATGAATTTATTTATACTTTTGCTGCATATGTATATTTCTTTAAACAACGTGTACTACTAATTTATGTTTAAAAGTTTATTTCAATGATTTATTATATGTTTTCTTCTGCAACTTGTTTTTTCTCTTCAATGTTACGTTTCTGAAATGCATCTATGTTATAACATGTGACTATGGTTCACTCATTTTTCCACCATTGTATATTCATTTAATGACTATACCACACTTTATTTATCCATTATGTTGTTGATGGACATTCAGGCTATTTCTAGTTTTAAGCTGTCAAAGTTAGGGCTACTGCAATCATTCTTGTGCAGATATTCTTAGGTGACAATTTCCATGGGATTGATATCTGGAGTAGAATTGTCCCCTCACAGAGTATGTGCATCATCACCTTTGGGAGATGTCAAATCGTTCTTCAAAATGGTTTACTAACTTATACACCCACCAGCAGTATATAAAGATTTCAGATTTATTGCATTAAATGGCTCTTAAAATAAAATTCTTCCCTATGGGAATGCATCTATGATTTTTTTTTCAGTGAAAAATAAATTTTATTTCTCAAAATTGTTTGACAGCTAACTTCTCAGGAATACATTTCCTTGTTTCCATTTGTAAATGAGGGGTTGGCCTAGATGATCTAGAAGGTCCTTTCTAGCTTGACAGTCTGAGTTTCTATGACTTATTCATTAAGGTAGGTACATCTGAAGCAGAACTTTGGTTTGCAGAAAATATTTGAGGAATACATAAGAAAGTTTGGTACCAATGAAACATGTGTCTCCTCTCACTGCCATGCTGTTGAAGACAAAGGCAGTGCTGTGAGAGAGAAGGCAGTCACACAGTGTCTCCTTCTCACTCTACTGTTCTTTCCAGAACTTCTCCATCTTAGAAGTCTTCCCTATTTTAAAAATTTTTTTTTCTCCCAATAATAATACCTGCTTGTTGTACATTAAAAAGCAAAGAATATAAAGTAAAAAGGAGAATCACCCTTATACAGCTCTCCAGGAGTAATGCCAATGAGCAACAGATGTCCATGCTATCTTTCTGCACATATGTACATGGAGATTTTTTTTAATGTTTCCACAAAATTAGGATTCTGCTAGACATACTATTTTGTCACATTTTCTTTTACCTAAAATATATATCTTTGATATCCATTAAAATCAGTGTATATAGAGCTATCTTTTTCTTTTTAATAGCTATATAATATTTCATATGTGAGTGGCTACCATAATATATAACACTTTAGTACTTACTAAATGCCAGAAACTATGAATTAACTCCTTGCAACAAGACTATAAGGTAGGTCTTTTTGTTATCTTTTATTTTTAAAGCAGATATGAGGACTGAAGTACAGTAAGAAGTACAGATGCAAACTAAAGCATCCTGGCTCAGAGCCTGTGACCTTAATGATTATGCCGTGCTGCCTTTGTGACATAGCCTACTCACCAGTCCCCTGTTGGTGGACATTTGAGTCAATTTCAGATTTTGGCTATTGCACACACTACTGCAGTAGACATCCTGGTCTATTTTTGCAAGTCTTTCTGTAGCATAGGTTCCTAGACTTCTCCAGTTTTTAGGTGAAAAGGGCCCATTCATTCATTCAAAAAATATTGAGCTCTAGATACTGGGGAAGAGCTGAGTTCAAACTGGAAGACTTGACCAGAATTTTACTTCTCAGATGTCCTAGAAAAGTCACTTAAGTGCTTTGTAGGGTTTGCCAGTCCGGTGTTGCCCCAGACCTTAGACTCACTGTATCCTGTATGTTCTTATTTGCTTATGTCTTTGTCTGGGTAGTGGCATAACTGAGTTTATACTTGGGTTCCCACCTGGTGGCCCATAGCCAAAAATCTTGCCAAGGGTCGGTTCTTGCCAAGAGCCTAGGTTCTGGAATTTACAGAGGCACAATACTACAATGGTAAAGATCTTATATTCTGGGATACAACTGCCAGTTACTCTATGCCTCCATTTTCTCACTCACACAGTGAAGAGAGCAGTGGAAACCACTTTACTTTATAGGGTTAAATGTGTTAACATATGTAGATGCTTAGTATATATAAAGCACAACATACAGTAAGTTTTAACTGTTATTATGGATTTGGCTATGGAAAAGCTGTCACATCAATCTTTCCACAAAACAAAGACCTCCATGGCATTTTGGTGGGGAGTGGAGAGGGAGAGAGGAAGTGGCTGCTATTAAATAGGTAATATATTCACATGGCTCAAAATTCAAAAAGTACAAAAGAATATTCAATAAAAAAATGATATATCCTGTTGGTGACATGGGGCTTTTGTGGTGTGGGTAATTTTTTGATTTCTCAACCTGGGCAATGATTTATGAAGATTTGCCTTATAGCAATTTAATATACTTTACATACTTTATGTACTTTGTGTGAGTATATTTCTCATTTTTAAAAGGGGGGAAAAGAGTAGAAAATCCCAAAGGAATAGAAGGAATTTTCCCACTTCTGTCTAGTAGCTACTTAGTTCCCTTATCCATTGGTGTCAGGTTCTTTTGTATACATTCAAATATGCTTTATTGCATAATATAAGCACATTTTTTCTGTAGAAATGGAATCTTGCTATGTTGCCTAGGCTGATCTCAAACTCCTGGCCTCAAGCGATTCTCCTACCCCTGCCTTCCAAAGTACTAGGAATACAAGCATGAGCCACTGTGCCTGTTTTTTGTGTGTTGTGTTTTGTTTTTTTCTCAAAGACTATTCAAGTGCAATAGTGAGAAGGGGTGAAAGAGGAGAACAGGGAGTTCCATCTGTAACAGACTATGAACAATCAATTGAGATAACTCACTACCTTCAGACCAATTATTTTTTAAAAGTTTATTTACTTATTTTTGAAGAGATGGGGTGTCACTATGTTGCCCAGGCTGTTCTTGAACTCCTGGCCTCAAGTGATCCTCCTGCCTAGGCTTTTCAAAGTGCTGGGGTTGTAGGCATGAGCCACCATGCCTGGCCCCATATTTTTAAATATACAAATGTAGACTACCTTGATTTGTTTTCTTTTTTTTCTTTTTTTTTTTTTGTTTATGTCCCTGAAGGTTTGCATCTTTTTTTTTTTTTTTTTTAGTTGGAGTCTTACTCTGTTGTCCAGGCTGGAGTGCAGTGGCACACTCACGGCCACCCCAGTATCAACCCGCTGGGCTCAGGCAATCCTTCCACCCCAGCCTTCCAAGTAGCCAGAACTACAGGTGCGTGCTACCATGCCCAGCTAATTTTTTATTTATTGTAGAGATGAGGTCTTGCCAAGTTACCTGGGCTGGTCTCGAACCCGTGGATTCAGGTAATCCACTTGCCTTGGCCTCCCCAAGTGTTGGGATTACAGGCTGAGCCACCGAGCCCAGCCTTTTTTTTTTTTTTTTACTTAAAATATATCTTGAGAGATCATTCTATATTGGTGCACAAAGAGCTCCTAATTTTTTTAAATAGCTGTATAGAATTCCATTGTATAGATGCACCATTATTTAATTAGTTCCCTAGTAATGGGCATTGCAATTTTTTGCCATTTCAAGCCTTGCTTCAAGTGCTAACATTAAACATACATCACTTCACACAAATGCAAGTATCACGGGTTCCTAGACATCTCCAGTTTTGGGGTATCTAGCACTGTGTTAAAAATATGTGAGATATTTTAGGTTAGATAAATATCAGGCATGAACTTTGTCCCATGAGCCAACAATCTTGCTTTCATGCTGGAATTCTAATATTTCCCACATGTTTTTAAAGCTTCTTATCTCTGCTCTGGAGAAAAAAAAAAATGTTTTTCCACTGACTCCTCCTGGAAGGGCCTTTGTGTGACTTCTAGAACCAGGAAAAGAGTATTCCTCGCGGGCAAAAAGCTACAGTTTGGCATCCAACAGGGTCCCTAGGGAAGAGCAGAAAAGTTATTTCCACCTAAAAAGCATCCTCCACAGTACTCCCTTCTCTTGCCTTAACTCAAAAGCTTCTCTTCCATAAATACACTCTAAATTCCTCCAACTATAAGTGAACACTTCCTCCTCTGTGACCTTTTATAGCATGATTTCTGTGTCCCACTGTCTTAGTCTGCTTTTTGCTGCTTATAATAGAATACCTGAAACTGGATAATTTATAAGAAAGGAATTTATTTCTTACAGTTATGGAAGGTGAGAAATCCAAGGTCAAAGGACTGTATTTGGTGAGAGCCTTGTTGCTGGTGGAAAGTCTGAAGAATCCTGAGGCGGCACAGGGAAAGGGGACTGAGTGTGCTAACATGCTAGCTCACATCTCTCTTCCTCCTCTTATAAAGCCATCATTTCCCTTCCCATGATAACCCATTAATCCATGAGTGGATTAATTCATTATTTGCCCTCATAGCCCAGTCATCTCTTAAAGGCCCCACCTCTCAATGCAGTCACATCAGGTATTACATTTCAACATGGGTTTTGGATGGGGCAAATATTCAAACCATAGCACCCACTATGAATAATTTCCTCCCTTAAATTATGCTTTTTTACTTATATGTCTTATTTCCTACATTTGACCAGTTGGAGACCAAGTCTGATTCATCTCTAGTCCCTCACTGCTTCTGAAAATTAAAAGGAGGAATAGGAAAATAATTAGTATGTGCAAGTGATGATTTGGGGCAGGATGGAGATAGATAGAGAGGCAGAAGAATCTTTGTGTATAACAAAAAGCACTGGCCCAAGAGTCAGGATGCCTAGGTTCACTTGTGTCTCAGCATCATCATCTGTAAAATGGGATCATAATTCTGTCTGGGACAACTATACCAGGTTGTGCTGAGGATTACAACAGACTACAAAAGCATGCTATTCAAATACAGGGAATGATAGTGTTTTGATGATTGGAATCTTCAAACATTAGCATTTTACAGATTAGCAAATAAAGGCCTAGATAGGTAATATGACATGAAGTCACAGTCAGGGACAAAGTCTGAAAAGAGCAGAGAATAGGTTATGTTAGGACCAGAAGGAGTTTATTCCTTTTCTACCTGTGTTGAGATTAGGTCTGAGTTCTCTGATTCTTGAGTTTATTGTATTTTTGTTTTGTGAAGCATCAACCTGGCATCAGGTCAGTAGAAGAATGAGAAGGAAGGAAGTCAATCTGGACAGAAGTGAATCTCAAAAGAGGAAAAAAAGAGATGGTCAATGAAAAAAGAAGTACAAATGGTCGCTAAAAATGTGTGTGTTGGGGGAAGCTAAGAAAATGCAAAGTAACCCTCAATATGCCATTTTCACTCACAAGGTTGGCAAATAAAATAATAATACACACTGTTGGCAAGTGTGCTGGGAAACTGGCACTCTCATACATTGTTGGTGGTAGTATACGTGATATAACCTTTTCTAGGGCAATTTAGAAATATGTGTCATAAGCCTGAAATTGGTTCCATACCATTTGATCCAGGAATTCCCCCTTCTAGGCAATTATCCCAAGAAAAGAATCACAAATATACACAAGGATGTTCATTACAGTTTGACTTATAAAACAGAAGAGGTGTGAACATATATCTTAATTGTTAAATTATGGTATATCCATTCAGTGAAATATTATACAACAATGTTTAAAGCTAACACTTATTGAGCCATGCATTGTTGCCAGGCACTGTGCTAATTCATTTAAATACATTATTAATTTTAAATATTAGAAGAATAATTATAATAACTTTATTTTTTTGAGTCAGAGTCTCACTCTGTCGCCCAGGCTGGAGTGTAGTGGCTTGCTCACGGCTACTCCAGTGTCAACCTGCTGGGCTCAGGCGAATCTTCTGCCTCAGCCTTCCAAGTAGTCGGAACTACAGGTGCATACTACCACACCTGGCTAATTTGTTGATATATTGTAGAGACAAGGTCTCACCAAGGTGCCCAGGCTGGTCTCAAACCCCTGGGCTCAGGCAATCTACTTACCTCGGCCTCCCAAAATGCTGGGATTATAGGCTTGAACCACTGCACCCATCCTTAAAATAATTAAAATTGGATGGAGCCGGAGACCATCATACTAAGTTATCTATCACAACAACAAAGAACTGAACACTCCATGTTCTCACTCATAAGTGGGCCTTGAACAATAGTCACATGAACACAAAGGAGAGATCAGTAGTTGCTGGGCATTGCTAGGGGAGGGAGGAGTGAGGAGGGCACATGACAACACAGAGTTCCTAGTCTACTACCAGGTGGAGTGAGGGCCAGTTGGAAGCCCAGACTTCAACTGTATGCATTCTACTTACATAGTGTACCCTCACTTGCATCCCATATCTCTATAATAAAATTTAAAAAATTAAAAAGCTAACACTTATTGCATGCATTGTTTCCAGATACTGTGCTAATTTATTTAAATAAATTATTAATTTTAATTATTAGAATAATTCCATACAATTAGGATGATTATGTAACAAAAATAAAGATGCTATAATTGTTATTCCCATTTTGCAGATGATGACATTGAGGCTCAGAGAGGTTAACTTATTGCAGATCACGCTGCAATAGGTTCAACAGTGTGGATTTGACACCAGAGCCCATGGCCTCAACCACAGTGCTGTACCACCTGTGCAGTTGTTAGAAATTCTGTTGTAGAGGAGTAGTTAATGACCTAGAAGCAGGATACAAAATGATGGGGTATGATGACAATTTTATTTTAAAAGTATATGCATGTATTTTTCTTTGAAAAACTACTATAAGACTTCACACGTTAGTAATGGTTATCTCTGGGTGGTAATATCACATATTATTTTAATTTTCATTTTATAATTTTTTGTGTTTTCCAGTCTATCTATAAAGAACATGCATTACTTGTGTAATCAGCAAAAATAAAAATTTAACATAAAAAGAGGTCTGAAAGCAAGACTTTTGTTGTAACCTTTGTACCTATAACATGTCCATGGCAATACTTCATTTTTTATCTGAGTGACAAATTTTTTGTGGTGTCTGATCACAGAAGAGCCATCATTTCAACCATTTTGAGGGGACTCTCTTTGGGGGTGAGGAGCTATATAGCTGTGTAATCTCCAAGGACTTTGACTACAACAAAGTGTCTTTCAGACCACAAAGTCTTATGCCCTTATGATCTATAATAATCCCCAATCTTTGGACCATGGACCTCTGAAGAGGAAGGATGGGTTCTTAATTTGAGAAGTCTACAGATCTTTAAATGGATGCATAAATGTTTTTCTCACTCTGTAAGTTCTAAAAGTACAGCTACTATTGTGGGTATGAGTGGGTGAAGTGAGATTTTTTTTAATCTTAAGAAGGGGCCCTTATACCTAAAATGCTGCGAACCACTGGAAGAGAGTCTAAAAATGGTGGCTATTTAATCATCAGCATCAGGAATCAAAGATGCTCAGTTTCTGCCCTTGGGATCAAGGTTTGCATGTCTTTGCCCAGCACTAAAAGAGATCACCTTTATCTGCAAGCATCGTCTTTGCCACCCATTTTCATCACATTTGTGTACATTCACTAAACTGTCAATTGGTTTGTACATCTAAAATTTTCCCTCATATCTCTCCTTTTCTAAGCTTAGCTCCTAACTTCTAAAGCCAAATATGTCTGAAGCATAGCTTATTATGTAATACTGCCTTCACTCCCTATCACACCAAATTCGCTCTTTCTCCTGTCTTCCCTTTCTTGCTGTTGGCAGCATTATCCACCCAGCTCCCAAATTAGAAACATTTGACTCCTTCACCTCCCTCGCCCTTCACATCCAACTGATCACCGAGCCCAATGCATTTAACCTCTGCAATGCACCTCAAAGCTATGCTATCTGCTTCATCCTCACTGCAACTGTCTGCCTATTATAACGGCTTCTCAATGGGTTCTTCCTCTCGGAGAATCACTCTACAAGGCAGGCAAATCTCCTTCTAAAATGCAAATTTGGATATGTCATTCCCTTGCTTAAAATCTTCAATGCCTCCCCACTGTCTACAAGATAAAGCCTGGAATCTTCTGCTTGTCATTCAAGGTATGGCCCAGTCTGGCCCTAGTGTCATTTTATAGCCTCATCTCCTGCTACTCCCAGCAAGGTACCTACCTTGTACTCTGGTCACACCGAACACACCATACATTTTACTTTCATGCTGTTTGGAATGTTCTTTTTTGTTTTATCTTCTCTGCCTCATGACAATCCTGTTTCTCTTTCATGACTCACCTCAAGTACATTTCCTCTAGGGAGAATATTCTTGACATGATCAGATAAAACTCATCTTTCCCTTATCTGTCTCTTCACTGTATTCCATCCTATAAATACTTCTATTATAAATGCAAATAATGCTTTATGGCCTTTATTTTCCCCATGTTTGTTCTCTCTGTATGTCCATCAGGGGCAGGCCCTATGTCTTTTTCATCTCTGTGCCTTTTAAATTCTAGCCATACTGATCTCATTGTTCCCTGAACATGCTATGCCTTTATGTGACATCCACCTTTACATAGGTGGGTTCGTTTGTCTGCCAGGAATGCCCTTCTCCGCTTCTTCCCATTCTCTGCATGGGCAAATAACTACTCACCCTTTGAGACTCATCTTAAATGTGGTCTCTCTGACATCTGAGCACATTCTCAGGCAGAGTTAGCTATTATCCACTCTGTGCTCCCCTAGTCTTTTGGTTAAATCTCAATTACAGCATTGCCACATAAGCATTTTATTATAATTATCAGTCTACATGACTGTCTCTCCTACCCATCTACCCCACCCCCTAACCCAGGCTGTGAGATCTCAGCAATAGCATAAAGCACTATAGGTAAACAATAGATACTTCTTTGATCAATAATTAAATAAAGTCTTATGGTACACGGTGACCTAGGTAGGTCAGTAAGCTTTGAATACTTATTTCCATAACTGGTCAAGGTACCTCTGGTTAGATGCTGCATTCATAGGCCTTTTCTAGGTCTTGACTCTAAATCTCTCCTTGTTACTCTTCCAGGTTCTTAATGCTCAACAGTCAGTGCACTGCCCATCCTCACCCCCCATGAGCCTTGGTTCTGATGCAACCTATGGTCATGCAGGGATGCCCTTACACCTTCCCACGATGTCATGAGTGGCGGGCAGCTGACCAGTTTCATCATAGCAGCAGCCTCCGAAGCACTTGTCCCCAGCCTCAGGTAAGCGTCTGATACAAAGACCAAGTACAGTGGCTCATGCCTGTAATCCCAGCATTTTGGGAGGCCAAATGAAAGGATCGCTTGATGCCTGGAGTTTGAGACCAGTCTGTGTCCACACACACAAAAAATTTTTTTTGCTAGTCTTGATGGCACGTGTCTGTAGTCCCAGCTACTCAGGAGGCTGAGTTCAAGGCTGTGAGGGTGCCATTGCAAACTGGGCAACAGAGTGAGACCCTGTCTCTTTAAAAAAAAGAGTTTTATAGTAATAGAAAGATTGTGGAGAAAGAGTGAACACAGGGTCTGTGTGTCCTTGGGGTGCCCATGTTTTCTAAGGTTCAGGGCACTCTCCATATATATGAAAACCCTTGGACGGCATGGGATGTCTTTAGAGCCCATCCCCTATCACTCATGAGGTCTCTTATGGGGGCACTTAGGGCAAGGAAATGTGTGGACTAGTCAAGTCAAAGGGCCCAGTGTCCATGTTAACCTTCTGAGTGTTACAGATCTGGGGAAAACTAAGAAGAAGATGGGAGGAAATGAAAGGCTGACATAGGTGGGGCCCAGTTCTTCATGGGTGCTCCAGGCAGAGCCAGGATAGCTTGACATGGCTGGGTCACAAGGGGCCATTTCTCACTCTGGGGCATTCCCAGTTCAGAGGACCCAGGAGAGTGAAGCTGTGGCCTGGAGCTAGAGCTACTCCTGGCTGTTGACCTGCCACCCCCCACCATCCCCCAGCCACTCCAGTTGGCTCCACCCCAGATCCCCAGAAAGGGTCAGGCAGCTGTTCCAACTATTCCTGTAGGAGGGCCTCAGCATGGAAACAATGTGGAACTGTGGAAAGCCCAGAAGACTCTGTGGGAGATAAATGAGGATGGGAACAGAACCCTTTTTGGTAAAAATGAAGTGTTTTCCCTCAGTGCTGAGGGGTGGGGGCCCAGCTAGGGAATGTTAACCTTTCCCCAGGCAAGTCGACTAGGGAAGGAGAAGAATGGCTACTTCCAAGAGAGGCCCTGCCCCTCAGGCCAGTGGCTTATGGGAAAGGGATTCCCCCAGCTCTCACCCAGGGTAGCACAGGTGGGCACAGGAGCCTCCCTGGCACTAGCTCCCTACATGGAGCTGCTATATTCCATTGTCCCCTCTTCCTCCCCCGCAGAAGTCCAGAATGATGCCCATAGACCATTCATTTCCCTCTGACCTCAGGGAGGGCTGTGGCTCTCCTCCACTCCTCTTGACCTCTCAAAGGAAGGGCAGAGAACTCTCTTATTTCACAGTGGTCTCCAATGAATCTCCTGGCTCCTGCACTGATCCAAGGATAATAATATTCAGAGGGATTCTGCTGCCCCAACATCCCGATGCTGCCATCCCATGGCTCTATCCCTAGGTGCCTTACTGCCTCTGAGGAAACTTAGTGAGAACAATGCGGATTTTCCAAACCCATCTTCCTTCTAGGCCTAGGGAAATTGCTTACCAGAGGTTTGTCACCAATGTGGCCTGATCCTTTCCTCCATCTCAGGGGAAGGGTGGGCCTAGAGGCAGAGTGAGCCCTTTGTGTCTTCCATGGAAGGGAAAAATAAATCAACAGAAGCTACCCTCTGCATGCCCCTCCCCAGCACCATGGAATGCCCAGTCCCACTCCCGCCATCCATGCCAGCCTGGGAGGGCCATCCTGGCCCCGGTGTGGCAGGCCCAGTTGGGAGAGAGCTGGAATTCCCCAAGGACAAAGCTGTGATTCACCAGCCAGGCTCTGACATAGCCACCCCCTCTAGATTCCTGGGGGGTCAGTAAACAAACAGGGTGACAGCCCCCGCCTCCTGGCCTGGCCCAGCTCTGCCTGCATCCCTGGGCAGGCTTGCTTAGAGCCCATTGGATCTCTGCCTGTCTACAGCTCACCAGGCACTGAGTCTGGATTCCTGGTGACAGATAACCATGGAGCTGCCCAATCCTGTCATGGACTCCCCAGGTAGCACAGGTAGGATCAGCTCATGGGGCCACAGGGTGACTGAGTTCCGAGCTTTGCTCAGAACTTGGCTGCTTCTTCACTTCCCTATCACAGTGTGGCTGTGAGCTGTGGTTTTAATGGGAAGGTTGGTTTCCTAAATTGCCTGGAGAGTCTTGTGTGGGGAGGAAGTATGGTTGGGAGGGAGGGGAGACTAAAGGAGTCTCATCACTAACCAGCAGAGACACTTTCTTTCCAAATGAAGGCAAGCAGATAGGAAGGTGGGCAGGCAGCCCCACCCCAAGCTGGGATAGAGCAGCCCAGGTTGAGATTTCTTCCTCCAATTCCCCTTCCTCCTACTCACTCCTGTCCCATGCATGGCTGGGGAGTTCTGGCACTGTGCTGTAGGTAGCTGTCTTCCCTAGGGTTATTTGGCATACTCACCATTCCCCCAAACCTCACAATTCCCCCCATAGGGCCCTACCAGTGCCAGGGAGAGCAAGTGATGGGCTGTGAACCTGAGGGCCCAAGATAGACTTTGGCAGGTTCCATATCTTGTCCCGTTGGCTACTGACTCTGGTCAGAGTTCTCACCTTGTGCACATTTGGTGTGGCACACTCCAGGGATCACATGTCTGTATTTCTGTCCAGTTAGAGCTGCCATTTTGAGGACTAGGCCCAGGCTTCCTGACTGTGGTGGGAAGTGTGGGTGAGGAAGAGGGGCAGGGGACATCAAGGTTGAGGTTCATTTGGGAAGTAGGACATCTACTGCTGATAGATTTCGCTAGTCTACTCCCCCTCTGAATCTTGATGGGGCAGCCCCTCGGCTTTCTTTTCAGAAGGTTGGGTAAACTGTGAGACCCTGAAGTATGAGCTTACGACTCACCTGGAATGTTCTTGTTACTCAGCGTTTGGGCTATTCTGAGCTGCTTTTTACCTAATGCAAATACTACTGATTCCCATCTGGGCAGTGGGTCCTGAAAGAATTTCTAATAATAAGAGTAAAAATAATAGTAGGCAGCAGTTCTATGCTACTTACCTGTACCAAGAGAAGACCTGGCAATGAACAGGGCCAAAGAGTCTTTCTTTATCTCACCCTCTTAACACACATACAGGGAAAAGGATTTCTAAGACTTGGAACCAGCCCTTCTCTCCCCTTGTTCACACTTTCCTCACTCTTGGCTTGGCATAGGCCAGGACATGGCACACTCCAGGGATCGTGAACATCTGTTTCTGTTCAGGTTAGAGCTGCTGTCACTACCCCCGTGCCTCCTCAGGATGGTGCTGGGGTTCCCTGCCTAAGTCTAAAGCTATTGAACGGGTCTGTCGGTACTGCTGGACCCCTGGAACCACCAGCCATGAATCTGTGTTGGAATGAAATAAAAAAGAAATCTCACAACCTCCGGTAAGGCCTGGGGCCTGGAAACAGGTGCCTTGGGGCATTGGCTTGAATGGTGTTGGGCTCCTTTTGCTGCTGCAGCTTGTCATTCTCCTCACAGCCTGTGTAACCCCCCACCCCTCACTTTCCTCAGCCTCACCACCCACTTTCTCTCCCTTTCCTACTCTGGCTCTGGGGAAGCAGCCCTAGTTTAGAAGTCAGTTTTAAGTAATTGTGTCAGCTTGGATAAGTTGTTTGAGTTCTTATAATTTTAGCTTCCATTTGTTTAAGAAAAAAATGAATGGAGGAATAATACCTGTTCTAACTACTTCACAATGTGTTCATGAGGATTCTAATAAGATGTGGAAATTCCTTCTCAGCTTAAAAGTGCTGATATGTAAATTACAGAAGTGATTACTCCTCCTCTTCCTCTCATGGCTGCCCTCCATCTTGGTGTGTCTTGTCCATTCACTTTCCCATCCTTTTGTGCCTCCACTCCCATCCATAAGTTATTAGACTATTCCTTCCCAGATGAAGGGCAACTCAATGAAAGCCTGAAGGCGAATTCTATCTCAGTTGTTCTCTTTCCCCTGTCCCTCTGTGTGTACCTTCCACTTTTCCTCTCCTCCCCCATCATCAACTCCCAAACTCCTGGCTTCCGGTGGGCTCTGGTGGTGATGAGGCAGTGTGGAGAAGTTGAAAAAATACAGGCTCTGGAGTCAGATAAACCTGGGTTCAAATCATAGCTCTATGATTTAACTGTGTGACCTTTAGCAAATGATGTACCCTCTCTGGGCAGTAGTAATGCCTACCTCATAAGTTTGTTGTAAAAATTAGTTGAAGCAATAATTTAGTTAAAGGGCTAGGCCCAGGTGGTAGGGAGGCAAGGAAGAAAGAATGTTATTATTGCTTGCTAAGGAGAATGAGCTCAATGACTGTGCACAGCCTTGGCTGGCCTCCAGCTTCCTATCACTTGGACCTCAGTTAATGGTTCATTTGGAGGGCAGGGAGGAAACAGAGATGACATACAATACAGATTTTTCTGCTTTCATATCTTAAGCTTCTAGTCAATGTTTCTGTCATCCTTTGGGTCCCTCGGGCCACTTGTATTTATATGTATCCTTACACACGCGCTTGCCCACACTCCACCACCCAACTCACCCTTTCAACTCATTGCATTCTCTCCTGCTCAGAGGGCAGGCTCAGAGCAACCTCTGTGGATGAGCAATTTGGTGTGACTTGAATTCTACCAGGACAAGAGGGGAACCAGATAGCTGTCACCCCTAATGCCCTTGCTCAGCTTCCTACTCTTCTCAACCTGATGCTGGGCATGCAACTAAAGTAACTGAAGTTCACAAAGAGATATATTAAGCAATTCAAGTTTGGGATGCCTCCCCACTCATGGTTCTACCCATTGGTTTTAGTACTGCACTCCATGTGTCTGTGGCTTGGGAGCCTCTGTGAGTGGGCAAGAGGGGGGGTGGGCTCTGGGCCTTTGCCCACTTCAACCAGAACAACTCCTCTTGAATTTGTTTTGTGTGTTAAGATTCTACTTAAGTGTTTGTTTGGGGGAAAAAATGTTTAGTCACTTCAAGAGAACATCACTGATCTTACTCATTGTGAGCAGTGCTCGCCTAGAGGCCTTCTCAGACCACAGTGGAAAGCTTCAGCTCCCTCTCCAAGAGATTATCGACTGGCTCAGCCAAAAGGATGAGGAATTGTCAGCTCAGCTGCCCCTACAAGGGGATGTGGCCCTGGTGCAACAGGAAAAGGAGACACATGCGGTAGGTTAGAATCTTGGCAGTTGTGGTGAGTAGCCTGTCATTGGGAAAGGAACCCCTTCTTCAGTACCCCGACAGAGAGGCACCCAGATCTGCTTCGACACCTAAAGTAATAGGAAGCTGTTTGCAGTCCTACTGGTCTGTGGATAGCTCACCACAGACTAAATAAAATCTTTCCTCTCTACCCACCCTCCACCCATCAAATTCTGGCTTCCATTAAAATCCTGCCCTCTGGCCAGGCTCGGTGGCTCAGCCTGTAATCCCAGCACTTTGGGAGGCCTTGGCAAGTGGATTGCCTGAGCCCGTTGGTTCGTTACCAGCCCAGGCAACTTGGTGAGACCTCGTCTCTACAATAAATTTTTAAAAAATCAGCCAGGCGTGGTAGCGCGTGCCTGTAGTTCTGGCTACTTGGAAGGCTGAGATGGAAGGATCACTGGAGCTCAGCGGGTCGACACTGGGGTGACCGTGAGTGTGCCACCGTACTCTAACCTGGGCAACAGAGTGAGACTCCAACTCAAAAAAATATTCTGCCCTCATTTGTAATGGAGACATGGGGAAATGAACATATAATGTTTGTGTGCTCTGTGTATATTTCAACAAAAAACTTAATTGAAATTGTAATATATATCCTGTCCATCTTGGCTTTGATTTAATTTTTCTAAGGCCCTTCCAGGGGACTTTCTGGATTTTCCAGAGAACCAAGATCCTTGCATTTTTCTCCACTCTGTGTAATAGACAGACTCATTTTATATTAAATAGACTCATTTCATACAGGGAGGGCTGTATCTCTTTTTGTCTGAGTAACCCAAAGATACCTGATAATGCCAAAGAATCAAGTTGCAATGAGAAGAAAGTTCATCAATTGTAGGATGGAATTTAAAGCATTTGAAAGATTTTTCTTCCCTGTTGACCATGCTGTTAAATTTCACAGGCCTTTATGGAAGAAGTCAAGTCCCGGGGTCCCTACATCTACTCTGTGCTGGAGTCAGCTCAGGCTTTCTTGTCCCAGCACCCATTTGAGGAATTAGAGGAACCTCATCCTGAGAGCAAAGGTGGGTGGTCTTCTACTCTTTCCCCTTGTTCTTAGAGCTATGTGCTGCTAAACTACACCCTCCTGCTCTCCCCAAACTTATTTTCTCAGCTGTTATCTAGGAGGATAGTTTCTCCTAGGAGTCCATCTAAAACTGGGGAGCAGCAAGATTCACACTACAGAAAAAAGTAAAGAGAGCAGAGCCTGGAGTAGGGGTCACCAGCGTGTGACCCAAAGGTGTAGGTGGCTCTCTGGATCATCATGTATGGACTTTTAAAAAAAAAAATAGAGGCTAGGTTTTGCTGTGTTGCCTAGGCTTGTCTCAAACTCCTGGTTTCAAGCAGTCCTCCCATCTTGGCCTTCCAAAGTGTTGGAATTATAGGCATGAGCTACTGCTCCTGGCCCTGGACTTTTAATGAGATGTGAAAAAAAAACCAAAAACAAAAAACACTCAAATGAATTGAACTGACTCAGTGAATAAAAGTAGCAGTATGTCCTTTAAAAACATACTGCCTTAGTCCAACATGGACATGTGGTGATGCTCTAATCAACTAGCAAATAAAAAAATCTTTTTAAAATCTAAAAAGTTAGGTGATGACTTTTGAGTGGAAAATTGATTATGGCTCTTTGATATTAACCCTGGTGACTTCTGGCCTCTTGCCTTGATAGAGAGGGCCACTCTGACTTCAAATAGGCATCACAGTGGGATCCATGGTGACTAGGTCTGAGTAGTGATTCAGCAAGCCCTTTTCTCCAAAAGGAGTCCCCAACACTCTGAGATGAGCTGTGAAGAGCCTGAAAAGACCCTTCATTAATTGAGCCCTTTGTCAATGCCATTTGCCCTCTCAGTTTACTCTTAGCCTCTCCATGGGAGGAATAGTACTTAATTTGCTGCTCAATGTGCCTCAGAAAGGACAAACTCAAGAGAGAACAGGACAATTCTAATTAGTCTGTGGCTTTAGGGCTCTGAAGCTTTATATAAGGGGAGATCTGAGGGAAAAAGAAGAAATCTACAAATTTGGAGCCTAGGCAGAAAAACTGAGCACATTATACCAACCTCTCCTGGGCTGAGCCATCATAAAATGACTCTATTCTTTGGATGGAAGTGGGCAGCAGACACAAATGCAAGATCATATTTCAGGGTCATGTGAGTAGGACACTGAATGATTTACCTCACTAAACCTTTTAAAATATTTTAGTCACTATTTACGGTGTCCATTTTTTTAAAATATGAGGAATTGCTCATGGTATTGTATGTGGGAAAAACATATGGTCTCTTAACTGTGATAGTGGATACATGAACCAACACATGTGATAAAGTCACATAGAACTAAACGTGTGTATACACATATACACACACACATACACAAATATAAGTAAAATTGAGGAAGACTGGCCAAAATTGGTGGATTGTGTCAATGTCAATATCCTAACTGTGATATTGTGCTATAGTTTTGCATGGTGCTAGTTACTATTTGAGGAGACTGGGTAAAGGGTACATGAGATCGCTCTGTATTATTTCTTACAACTGCATGTGTCTTTACAATGATCTCAAAGTAAACAGTTTAGTTTTTTTGAAAAAAAAAAAAAACCTGAACGTACAAAAAGATTCAACCATGGAAAAATATGTATTTGTGTATTGTGTATGAATATATACATAAATGTGCACGTGCACACACACGCATGCACATGCACACTTTATAAAGGGCTATATTTGTCTCTGTCTTTCCCTGACCCGCCCCTGCCTGGATGGCCTGACCTGGTTTCCTGCCTGCCCTTGCAGATACCTCCCCCAGACAGCGGATCCAGAATCTTAGTCGCTTTGTGTGGAAGCAGGCGACAGTGGCCAGTGAACTATGGGAGAAGCTGACAGCCCGCTGTGTAGACCAGCACCGTCACATTGAGTGCACTCTGGAACAGCTGATGGAGATCCAAGGGGCAATGGAGGAATTAAGCACTACTCTGACCCAAGCTGAGGGAGTCCGAGCCACTTGGGAACCCATTGGGGATCTCTTCATTGATTCACTCCCTGAGCACATCCAGGCTATTAAGGTATGCAGGACCCTCTCCCTTGACTACAGTCCACCCTGAGACCTGATGTTCTCCCCATACCCTGACAATTCTCTGCTGCTGAGACTCCATTGTTGACCTGGACTACAACTGAGTTTTGTCAGTTTATATACTAGATTTAGGGCTGGTTTGGCTGGAGTCCCTTCTGTTTTTCTACTTTTTTCTATTGTTTTTCTACTGTCTCTTTCCCTGATGTTTTCTGAGAGGAGGAGAGGAAGAGGATAAGGACAATGGCCACCCACATCTTAATCGGGTTGCCCTAATAGGCAAACGCCCGGGTTGTGTTGCTGAAATAAAACCTCTGGGTGAAGAGGGAAGAGTTTAAGTGAATGACTAATGATTATTTTTTCCTGTCTCTGGCTGCTGTGGCACTTGGATTCTGGTTCTCTAGCTATTCAAAGAAGAATTCTCCCCTATGAAAGATGGGGTAAAGCTGGTGAATGATCTGGCCCATCAGCTTGCCATTTCTGATGTGCACTTGTCAATGGAAAATTCCCGGGTCCTGGAGCAGATCAACATCCGGTGGAAACAGCTACAGGTAGAAGAGCAGCCTGGAGTGAACCATGGGAGGTGCCTCAGTATAACTAGGCTTGGGGAAAACTTCTTCAGGCTCAAAGGAAATGAAGGGGTATTGAAATAGGACCTGAAGGACAAAAGAGTAGTGGAGAATATGATGCTTATGATGCTAGGGAATGGACTTCTCCAGCTCTAAGCTGCAGAGCATGATGGAAATGAAGAAATGAGAGGGACCTTTCTAGATTGAGCACTCAAGGTAGACAGAGGCAGGGAAAGGGTGACTTTGGTCTGGAATTAGAGATGCTTTGCTCTGGCCCTTGAGAGTGCTAAATAAGAGAGGGCTAGGTGCTGGGTGACGATGGGAGCTGCTAGAACCAGAGAAAAGTCAGCCTGTGAAGGAGCTCATAAAGACTCCCAGAGGTATCTGGGGAATCCCATTCTAAATAGCTGGAATGAATCTACTGATTTCCTACCTGTTCATTCCATAGGTGTCAGTTGGCGAGAGGCTGAAGCAGCTCCAGGATGCCCACAGGGACTTTGGGCCTGGGTCACAGCACTTCCTCTCCTGTACGTGAGCCAAACTGGACTCCACTTAGCAGAACCTCAGCCACTTTCCAAAAGAGTCTATTATTTTCCTCGAGGATCTGGCGGGAGCCCAGTATACCTTGGCATCCAAGAAGCAGTAGTATAGTGGTTAAAACAACAGTCTCTCAAATCAGAGAGACCTGGGTCTGAGTCACAGTGCCTAAACGTAGTAGCTATGCAAGCTCAAAATAATAGTCTACTCTTTCTGAACCTCCGTTTTCCATCTGTAAACAAAGGGAAAATATTATCTAGCTCATCAGTTTATGGGAATTAAATGACTTTATTTGTTCAACAATATTTATTGAGGGCCTACTGTGGCTCAGATACTGTTCTAGGTATTAGGGCTGCACCAGTGAACAAAACAGACAGAAATCCTTAGCTTATATTCTAGTGGGGAAAGGCAGACCACAAACAAAAAAGTAAATATATATTTAAGGTCAATTAGTGACAAGGGCTATGGAAGAAATTAAAACAGGAAAGGTGTGGAAAGGGAGTGCTAGACTTAAAGGGGGAAGTATTGCAATTTTGAATAGGATGGTCAGCAGAAGCTTCACCAAGAGGATGGCAATTAAGCAGAAGAATCAAGGAAGTGAAGGGATGAACCATGTGGCTAGCTAAGGGAAGAGCATGCTGGACAAAGTGAACAGTAGCTTCCAGGCCCTTAAGACAAAGGTATGCCCCAGGAACAGCAAGGAGAGCAAAGAGGGGAGAGGTGGAGGAGGCTGGAACACAGAAGGCCTTGGAGGCGATGGGAAGAACTTTGGATTTTATTCTGAATGCAGTGGAAAATCACTGGTGGGGTTTGAGCTGAGGGATGATGTGATCTGTCTTATGTTTCAACAGAGTCAGTATGTTGAGAAGAGACTCCTAGGGGGCAAGAGTGGGAGCAGGGAGACCTGTTTAGAGGCACATTGCAATAATCTAGGTGAGGGATTGTGGTAGCCCAGATAGGGTTGAGGGGAGCAGAAAGCAGTGGAGATGGTGAAAATATACAGATAGGAAAATGAGATATGCACACAAATCACTGAGCAAATAGGAGCTCAATAAATGTTAACTGCAGTTAGAATTTTTGTTATTATAATCACTGCCGTGTAGCTACACCTGAAGAGGGTTCTTGTACCCAGGAAAACTGCAGTGAGCAGGTTGGCCAGGTAATCTGAGCCTCTCCTAGGAAATCTGGAAGATAAAGATAGAGAAAGAGGCATGAGTTTCCAGAGTTCCTCATGAGAAAGAAATGGGTAGTACCATTTTCCACTGTTTCACAGGACTGGAATGCTTGAGCTTCTGGGGGAAGGGCTTTGAACCCTGAGAGGAAAGTAGGGTCCACTTCATATCCACAGAAGCAATCCAGTAGCCTGCAGCTGAATGGCTAGAAATGGCTGCCTGCTCAGGGAGAATATTGTCAGGGTGGCCAAGGCCAGGTATTCTTGTTCATGCCCTTGCCACACCTCTGGTATGTTAGGGTGTCAGTGACAACCTCGTCTCCTTCACCTGCCCTAACATCAGAGAGATAAGTAGATTCATTAAAAGTGTTTGTTGGCTGCGTGCAGTGGCTCATGCCTGTAATCCCAGGACTTTGGGAGGCCAAAGTGGGAGGATTACTTGAGCCCAGGAGCTCAAGACCAGTTTAGGCAACATAGCAAAACCTCATCTCTACAAAAATAAAATTAGCCAGGCATGGTGATGCACGCCTATAGTCCTAGATACTCTTGAGGCTGAGGTGGAAGGATTGTCTGAGCCCAGGTGGTCGAGGCTGCAGTGATTGGGCCCCTGTGCTCCAGCCTGGGTAACAAAGTGAGATTGTGACTCAAAATAATAAATAGATAAATAGATAGATAGAAACACAGATAGATAGTGTTTGTCCCACTTTTAGGGACTGTTAAGAGTTGACAGTGAGTCAAGCATCCCCTTTTGTCCTTGATCATCTCTTTGGGAGGATAGAACAGGGGAATGGCTGGGGGTGGGGGTCCTGAAGAACATTAGAGGTCAACTTTCTTACTTTTTCTCTTCTCCTTTACCAGCCTCTGTCCAGGTTCCCTGGGAAAGAGCAATTTCACCCAATAAAGTTCCCTACTACATCAAGTGAGTGACCATCTGAATCAGAAGTGGGTCAGTCACCTGCCTTCCTTCTCCCTGTCTTGTCTTTTTTGCTATCTGTCCTTGTCACTCCTTGTCTGTTGGAATTCCTCCATTCAGTCTAGTTTTTCTCCTACTCATCTCAAGAGCTAAAGATTCTACCTGGGTAAAGGTGAACGCTTGTGCTTTGGGATCTTCAGGGTTCACCCTCGGATCCTGCAGCTTCTTGCATCCAACCTATCACCGAGTGGTGCACGTACCTGTGGGGATGGGGTGGGGGGATTGTGGGTGCTGGCGCTATTGATACTTTTGTTTGTAGCCACCAGGCTCAGACCACATGTTGGGACCATCCCAAGATGACAGAGTTATACCAAACCTTAGGTAAGAATGTGGGATTTCTGTATAGGATAGGGGTCTATGCAGCTGCCTTTGTCCTATAATTTCCATTAACAGATGAACGGAGAAAGAATATGTAGCGTATCCATATAATGGAATAGTATTCAGCCTTTAAAATGTAGGAAATCCTACCATTTGAGACAATAGGGATGAATCTGGACGACATTATGCTAAAAGAAATAAATCAGACACAGAAAGATAAATATTGCATGATCTCACATATGTATAGAATCTAAAAAAGTAGAATTCATAGAGGCAGAAAGTAAAATGGTGGAAGGGCAGGAAAAATGGTGTGGGAAAGTAGGGGTAGGAAAAAGGGAAGTATTGGTCAAATGGTGCAAGGGTTCAGGAATAAATAATAAAGAGGGCAGTTGGAACCTTTTGAAAGTGATATGACATAGATTGTGGTGATTGTCTCATGGGTGTAAACTTTTCTCCAAGCTCATCAAGTTGTAGATATTAAATCTGTACATCTTTTCGTATGTCAATCATACCTCAATAACATGGTTAAAAAAATATAGAAGAGAATTCCAGTCAATAAGCAGATGGGAGAGGAAATGAGTGCTTCATCCTTTCCAACAGTCTTCCTCCCTTTCCCTTCTGCACCCTCCTCAACTGGAGGCTCCACATTTCCCTCTGGACCATTTTATAATCACATTAGGGAATTAGGATTATAGATGTGAAGTCTGTGAGAAGTGTGACTTTTACATGCCTTATCTTTGCCTATTAAGAGAGATTCATCATCATGTTGCAAATTTTATCCATGCTGATGCACGTGACTATAGTTCATTCATTGTTCAGTGCTGTAGAGTGTTCCATTGAATATAGCACAATTTCTTTATCCATTCTACTGTTGAAAGACACATGGGACATTTCTGGTTTGAAGCTCATAATGACACACTGCTGAGGAATTCCTGTTCATGTCCTCCAGTGCACATGTGCAAGGGTTTCTCCAGGGCATGTTTTTCAGCCTGCAGGTTATAACATCATTTCATCATGTTTTGTGACAAGCATTTTTAAAAACTGAAATAGAAAAAAATAATTAAAAACTGAAATAGACTAGAAAATATTAATGTGCAACGGATCCTTAGAGTCATATTTGCTATTAATTTTTGTTATATTTTTACTTTATCAAATCCAGTAAGAAATTGCTTCCTGAAATGTTTGATTTAATTATTTATACATTCACCATGTGTATATGTATACTGGGTCATGGTATAAAATGAATTTCATGCTATGGGTCTTGGTCAAAAAACTTTATAAAATCATTGCTCTGGGATATATAGCTGGCTAGGTGGTAAGATACGCTACTGTTCCATTTCACAAGGTAATACCAAACTGTTTTCCAAGATGATTGTCTGTTCACACTTTCACTGGCAGTTCTCATTCATCCACATCCTTGTTGACACTTGCTTTTGTCAGATTTCTATTTTCTGCCAATGTGGTGGGTGTAAAACGGTATCTTGTTGTGGCTTTAATTTGCATTTCCCTGATCTGAGTGGGTCTTTCTCCATTCTTTGCAGCTGATCTGAACAACATTAAGTTCTCAGCTTATCGCACCGCCATGAAGCTCCGCAGAGTGCAGAAGGCCCTGCGCCGTATGTTTCCCGTCACACTTCCCTGTGACTTTCACCTCCCTGCTCCTGTTCCTCATCTGTGTCTGCTGTTTTCTGCTTTTGTCCTACCTTGGCCATGGTTTTTTATTAGCTTGACGAGAACTCTTCAAAGGCTGGGATAGGCTGGCTGTGAACACCTGCTCTATCCAGGGCTCTTCCACTTTCCCTAAGCCCCAGACATGTTTCCAAATTCATCCTACAGCTATCCTCCTCCATGTTCCTTTTCCTCTGCCCAACATGGATAATCAAGCAACTACTTTGTGACAGGAAGTATCCCAGCCCATGTTTTGCCATCTTGGGGTTATTGGACATAGCAGCAGGATTGTTGAAGCAAATGCCAGTGGTTAGTGAACACTGTGGCTACAGATAGAATGTGCCTTTTGGCCTTTCTTGGGGACACTGTTCATGGCCCAGGCATGTCTGGCTAGGCTGATCAAGCACTGGAGGTAATTAAAACATCCTCCTGATGTAAGTCACATTTCCCCAGCCATGCCTGAGATTTTATAGCTGATGTCTATGTTTTCAGAACACGGTTCATGGAGAAACCTATTTGCAGTGGAAACTTGTGTAAAGATAGAGAAACTTAAAATGGAATTTGATCCCTTGGGGGTTAATACGATATAGGAGATGAGTTTACTCGCATCCAACCATCTTTTTGAAACTGGTGTCAGAGAACATATGGCTTATAAAAACATGTTGTGCTAATTTGAGGGGATTTTTGCTACCTTCACCCACTCCCACCTTGGGATGAGGGTCTTGGTAAAGGACAAGCTTATATCATACTTGAAAGTGGTTGTTCTGGAAATTGAGTCAAATTTAGTGATGCTGGTGACCTTATCTTTTTGTCTAATTCCTGGGGTTTCACTTTTAGCTATATTTTTTCCCTCTCTTCTTTCCTTCTCAGTGGACCTGGTAACTTTAACCACAGCCCTGGAGATCTTCAACGAGCATGATCTGCAGACCAGTGAACACGTGATGGACGTGGTGGAGGTCATTCACTGCCTGACTGCCTTATACGAACGACTGGAGGAGGAAAGAGGCATCCTGGTTAATGTGCCACTCTGTGTGGACATGAGCCTCAATTGGCTTCTCAATGTTTTTGATAGGTAAGGGCTTTCAGCCCTGGTAGCCTCCAGGATAAAATTCAATGGGACGTTTCAATGGGTTGCTCCCATAGTGGACTCAGATCCAGCTCAGCTTGGGACACAGTTGGCACAGGGCCCTGCTGGGATCAACTCTGTTAGGGGAATGCCTGCTTCAAAGGGTTAATGATGTTAAACTTTTACATATATTCATGTTCTCAGTCTCTTCTTTTAAACCTAGTGGTCGCAGCGGAAAGATGCGGGCATTGTCCTTTAAGACTGGCATTGCATGCCTGTGTGGCACAGAAGTGAAGGAAAAACTTCAGTGTGAGTACAACTCCAAAGTCTAGGGTGGTATTGGGTGGAGGGAGAGGTGTTGCTGGGAGGAGAAAGGGTATAAAATAAGCAGAAGGTACGTCTTATGACTCAGCAGAGGGTTGCTTGGTCTGCCTTGTGATGCTTCTTGATCTGGGCTATTGCAAAAAAATGCATGACAGCCAAAAGACAAGATGGACCTAAGGCCTATTATTATCCCCAGTGTCACCTTCAGGGGCTTGGTTTATTCTGATCCGATGAAAGTTCTTAGCCAGGAGCTATGCTGGCACCTTGGGGTACCCAGGACCCCGACTGTCTAGTTGTGTTTTCCCATGGCCTATCAGGCTTAGCCCACTCCCTGTCTGAAATTTAAGCCATGTCATATGCTCTACTAGAGAATTCTCATGTCATCATACATGAGCAGGGTGCAATAATTCCCATTATCTAGGAGACAAACAGTATGTACTTCTATACTTTTTCACCCTCTGGTTTATAGTACCTTTACTTTCCCTTCCATCCTTCATCTTGTGTTCTGCATTTTGAACTTTCGACAGCAGCATTATTAGTTGTTTTACTAATGGGTGGTGGCCACTCTGCTAAATAGGGTGAATTCTAGGTTCAGTTAGACACAGTCCCTGATTCAAGGGGTTTACTGTCCAGAGGAGGAGACAGAAATATACAGAAACCATTTCTTATAAAGTACTAATGAGAATAATCCAAATAGCAATGGATATGTGCTATATCTCATCCCAGAAGAGAGACAGATGACAGTAGTCTGGGAAAACTTTACAGGGCAGGGAACTTTTCCAAGCATGTTCATGATATTATTTATTTCTCCCAACATTCCTTTGAGATGAGATGGATAGTAGTTACTTATCTTCAATTTACAAGTAAGGAAACTGTTGCATAAAGAGGTTTATAACTTGCCCATGATTTTATAACTAGTCAGCAATGGATCCAGAACTTGAACAAAGGCCCTCTGCCTGTGTATCTTCTAAGCCTTAGGCAAGGTATAAAACAGACAGACAGTAACCTCTGGAGGAGGTTTGCTAAAGTTGGACTGGGGCTGGGAGGTTGTCCCAGAAGGGCTGATACAGCCCATATTCAAATGTAAATATCATAGTATATTCCACAACCACTTAGAGATAATTTTTAGATTACAGATGCTTTGAATTCACTTTTCTTTTTGGGTTATCCATGCCAGTGTTTCCTTCCACTTGTGTGGACAATTGAGAGATTGCTGCAGTGTCAGACTACATGAGCTACGTTAACAGGAGAGGGTACAGCAGCCCTTGTGACTCGTGTTTAGGCATCCCTGAGCCCACAACCCCCCTCCCTGTCTTGCTTCTTGAAGAATCTGTTTACCCAGCAGTGATATATCTGTGTCTAGCACTGCTCTTACACACAGTACTCTCCCCCCACCCCACCCTTTCTGATGCTTTTTCTTTGTGTCTGTCTCACATTTTCTCTCTGAACTCATAGAATGATCTTTTTAGAACTCCTGGGCTTTTAGAAGGTCAGGGATGAACCTCTAGGCATTCCAGTTTCAAAAGGCATTAGCTCAGTCTATGTGCTTTTTTTTCTTCCTGTTTTTCTTTTTCTGCTCTTTCTCCCTGCACCACTCTCTGGCCATTCCTGCATTGGGGTTGGCCATTTTTTATGGTGGGGCCAGCAGACCTCTTCAGCCAAGTAGCCAACTCAGGCAGCCAGTGTGACCAACGCCACCTTAGTGTCCTGCTTCATGAAGCCATTCAGGTGCCTCGCCAGCTGGGTGAAGTGGCAGCCTTTGGGGGCAGCAATGTGGAGCCCAGTGTCCGTAGTTGCTTCCGTTTTGTGAGTATGGGACTGGGGAGGGAGGGAAGGAGGGAGGAAGGGAGGGAAGGAGGGAAAAGGAGATGAAGGAAGATGGGAGGAGGAAAGAAAGGGAGAGAATAGGAGGAGGGATGGAGGATTAAGAGCTAGGCTTTTGATCTGATGTACTCAGATGTAAGAGAGTTTGTTGGAGTGGGATAACAGGGCAGATGGTTCTCTGAGCTCTAGGGTCAGAGTCCTGTGAGGGTACCAGCTCAACTAGGTCAGGGCAGAAGGTGGACAACTCTGGAGAATAGGCCAACCCAGACCCTGCTGGCCCTTCTGCTCCTCTGAGGGCTACTGTTCTAGGGACAAGACATTTTGGGCCTTGGTCACTCCCATTGGGCTTCTTATTTCTCCAGAGCACAGGGAAGCCAGTCATTGAAGCTTCCCAGTTCTTGGAGTGGGTCAACTTGGAGCCCCAGTCCATGGTGTGGCTGGCTGTCCTGCATCGGGTTGCCATTGCTGAGCAAGTGAAGCATCAGACCAAGTGCTCTATCTGTAGGCAGTGCCCCATCAAGGGATTCAGGTAGGGAAAACAATATCTGCTGGAATGATAACAATAAATAAGTCATGTGACATAAAATAAGATATTATAAAACAATTTATTACATACAAATATTATAAAACAATTTATATAATAATTATTATATAATTGTAGCTAATCTATTGTGCATTATTATATATCATAATAATTTTTATTGCTGAATGTTTAACTTTTAAAAAATTGGAAATTATTAAATATTTTATTTTGTGTTAGTTGTATTATGAAGTATTACAGACCTACAAAAATGTATAGAAGATACTATAAGAACACCTATGTACCAAATGATGTGCCAGCATATGTTTCACAACCTACTCTCCAGAAAGAAAGAAGAAAACCTGATTTGTAGGGTTTGTTAATTTCTATGGTGTAAATGCTCCCACTGTGGCTGATGTCAGGCTACCTACAGGAGGTGTTTGAGCACAGAGTTGGGAAAAGAGTTTCATTTGCATACCATCAGTAGTATTTCCATCATGCAGATACAATAGATGTAATTAACCTCCATAGCACAGATAATAATAAAGTAACTAGGAAGTGATAAGTTTTGAGTAATTATTACTTTTGTTTCTAATGTCATTTATTTGTGAGTTTGTTTAATTCAATTTTTAATAGTGGCTGTATTTAACAACTGGCCTAGAAAAACCCCTGAATTTTTTTTTTAATTTTAAATTTTAAAGATGTGGGGTATAATTCAGAGTTAGGTATACAAATGTTCATTATGCAGGTACCCTTGTTGATGAGGTGTGCCCCCCCATCCCCTGGCAGTTTCCCACTACTGCCAATGCCTTTCTTTTAGTATTATGATAATTGTTCAAGGTCTGCTTATGAGTGAGAACATGTGGTACTCAGTTCTTTGTTTCTGTGATAGATCACTCAGTATTATAGACTCTAAGTCCGTTCAAGTTGCTGTGAAGTTCATATTTTTGTCCTTCTTTATGGCTGTGTGATATTCCACCATGTATATGTACCACATTTTTGTAATCCAGTCCTCTTTTGATGGGCAGCACGGTTGGTTCCGTGTTTTTGCTGCTGTGAATAATGCTACAATAAACATGGGTGTGCAGGTATCTTTTTCATAGAGTGATTTGAGTTCCTCCAGGTATATTCCCAGTAGGGGGATTGTGGGGTCATATAGAAGGTTGATGTTTAGGTCTTTTAGGAATAGCCAAACTATTTTCCACAGAGGCTGTATTAGTTTACACTCTCATCCACAGTGTAGAAGTCTTCCCTTTTCCCTGCATCCTCTCCAGCATCTGTTTTTTGGTGTGCTTTTTTTTTTGAATTATTGATGATGGCCATCCTGACTGGAGTTAGGTAGTATCTCAGTGTGGTTTTAATTTGTGTTTCTTTGATGATTAGTGAGATTGAGCATTGTTTCACATATCTGTTGGCTGCTCGCAAGTCTTCTTTTGAGAAGTGTCTGTTTATATCTTTTGTCCACTTTGTAATGTGGCTGTTTGTTTTTTTCTTTTCAGGCACATTTGAGTTCTTTGTAGCTCCTAGATGTTAGGACTTTGTCAGATATACAGTTGGCAAATATTTCTTCCCAGTCTGTGGAGAAAACTCCTGAAATTTTAACAGCCAGCACTTGTGAACTGTATGACCTGGTCTCACCACACCACAATATATATCCATGCTTAAGGAATAAAACGTTGTTGCAATATATTTGAGGTCTCCCTGATTACATTCTCCTCCTTCCCCCACAAGGGTGGTAACCCCTATCTTGAATTTGGCTTGCATCATAAAATGCTCATTAAAAAAAAAACTTTTTAAAGTGCTAACACACAACTCCCACTACAACCACCCTGCTTTTTATAGAATGAGCAAATGAGATGCACAGCTGGTTAGTGGTAGATCCAGGATTAGATATTAGATTTTCTGATTCCTCTCAGTTAGGCATTTCACTGTTCTGTGCTACTAAGTCTGGGAAGTTCAGCCAGGCTTTGGAAATAGATCTGAAGAGCTAATGTATATTCAGTAATAATAAAGTTGTTATTATAAATAGCCTTGGAAAATAACTTTTAGCCGACTTACACAAGACTAGTAGAAAAAACTGCCTTCATATTGGAAGTGTAACTTCTCCAAAGTAGGTGGTGACACCTGGGAGCCAAAACCTTCTTCGGCCATCCTTGTTTAGAAAGATATTTGAAGTAATGAGATCTTTTTTTTTTTTTTTTTTTGAGTTGGAGTCTCACTCTGTCGCCCAGACTGGAGTGCAGTGGCCGCTTCCGGTCACTGCAGCCTCCACTTGCTGGGCTCTGGCGATCCTTCCGCCTCAGCCTTCCAAGTAGCTGGAACTACAGGTGCGCGCTACCACACCCGGCTAATTTTTTGATTTGTTGTAGAGATGAGGTCTCGTCCAGTTGCCCAGACGGGTCTCGAACCCGCGGGCTCAGGCAATCCACTCACCTCGGCCTCCCAAAGTGCTGGGATTACAGGCTGAGCCACCGAGCCTGGCCGTAATGAGATCTTTACTCCTGCTTCACCTTACTCCCCTTTAAACAAAGGTGGTAAGATAGTGCTGTTTCCCACACTTCTGGGAATCTGGCCTTGTGATTTCATGGAGATTTATGGTCTCTAGGATAAGGCTGTTCTTCTGTGGACAACTCAACCTCTGCTATGTATGGAAGATTGAATGTGTTATGGCTCCATGTCTCACCCCCTTCTAATCTGTATGTATATATTGATGTTGGGGAACAGGGGGCAGGTCACTGTGGCCCACTGGATCCTCTTTCCTACCACATCTCCTCTCCCCAAGGTACCGGAGTCTGAAACAATTTAACGTTGACATCTGCCAGACCTGCTTCCTGACAGGCAGGGCCAGCAAAGGCAACAAGCTGCACTACCCCATCATGGAGTATTACACACCGGTATGTAGCCTCTGGGCTGGACGGGAGGGGGAGGCAGCTCGCAGGAACCTTGATCCTCTTTGCCCAGCATTGGCTCACTGTATTCTACTCTTCTGCAAGGAGCATTCTCCAAACAGCCCTGGCAATTTATAATTCACTGGCTTGGGGGATTCAGGTCTCTATTCTTCCAGCAGAGTCTCTCTGTCACTGGATAGCTGTCATTTAAAGGGCACTCACTATTTCACTGCAGAGAAAAGTCTCAGGAAAAAAAAAGAGAAAGAGTAAGGCAATTCCAGGTGATTCACTTGAGTTTTTCCTGGCTAGCTTCCTGTATTACTCCTACACTAGGTCACTCTTTCTCTGCTACACCAAAGTTTGTATTCAAACCCATTACTCAGTCCCTTGGAGGAAAAAAAGGTATGTTCTTTAGCTCGGCCCCCCAAACGCCACTTGATTTTCCCTGGCAGATGTGTCTTTCACAGCTGCCTCAGCTGGGGTTGGTCAGCATTTCTGAACTCCAGCCATAGAATTGCTCCTGTACTGTGTTCAAGATCCACAACTCCATACTTAGCTTCCTCAACTGAGTATGCTCCCTCTACGTCTTTATTCCTTTCTGTCCTCACAGATTCTCCCAAAGCCCTGAGCACATCCCCAGCTCCAATTCTGCCTTCCATCTTTCAACTTGTTTTTCCATAATCCATCTTTCCAAGCTGTCATCTCTTCAAATTCTGTGGGCACAGTGTGGGACCAGGAACCATGCCCTCTACTTTGTATTTATTATTGTTAAAAAATTTAGGAAAGTCATACACAGAAAACTGGCAGAAGACAGCAGACTGATTATTGTCTACTTCCTGCTTATCCTCTATATCCTTAAAATTTATAGAAAAGTTATGATTATTGTAAAAGATTAAAATTGTGTAAAGATGTTTAAAGTATAAAATGAAAATCCCCCTCTCTCCTCACTGTGGCCCCCACCCATCCAGTTCAACTTCCCAGATACAACCAGTGTCCACAATTTGGCATATATCCTTCCAGACCTTTTTCTAGTAGCAGGGTATGGAAGGTATGAGCAAGAGTAGATTGCGTGTCATGCTGTCTGCTCTAGGGGAGCAGCCACACCTGCCCAATGTATCTGGAAGCCAATAGGGTGAGCCCTCTGCCCTGTCTCTCCTTCAGACCACATCCAGTGAGAACATGAGGGACTTCGCCACAACCTTAAAGAACAAATTCCGCTCCAAGCATTATTTCAGCAAACACCCTCAGCGAGGTTATCTGCCTGTACAATCAGTGCTGGAGGCTGACTACAGCGAGACGTGAGTACCAGTGACTGAGCCGGGGCTGCGGGCAGCTTCACTGAACCCAAGTGTGTGCTGTGAAAATGCTGAGTCCTGGGTGAGCTAGGGGAATGTTCCAGGGTAAATCCCACTAGTGGCAGGGCAGTTCAGTTCAGGGCTGACTTGGACTCTGACCTGGGAAGTAAGCTAGAATCCAGTTTCTGTATCCTGTTCCCATCAGCTCTTGCCCATCTCCATAAAGTGGGGGGTGGGGTGGAGAGAGGAAACAGACTACAAAGCTGCCCAGTCTTTAATTCTCTGAGTTTTCAATGCTTTCTTCTAGGCCGGCTTCTTCTCCAGTGTTGCCACACGCTGACACACACTCCCGCATTGAACATTTTGCCAGCAGGTACCACCAGGTTTGCGGGAGGTGGGGGTTTAGGGGGTTGTACGAAGTCCAAAGGGAAGGGTTTTTCAGGTGGGACAAGGAGAATGGAGTCAGGGCCAGGGGGTGTGCATAGTGGGGTATATAGCAGCCAGTGAGGACCAACCCTTAGGGGTGGTTGGTGCAGCTCCCAAAGCCAATGATCCTATTGTGAGATTAGAGTCTTTGAGATAAAAGTAGCCCCCACATTCTGTTTCTGCTCTTTATTCCCAGGCTTGCTGAGATGGAAAGTCAAAATTGTTCCTTCTTTAATGACAGCCTTTCCCCAGATGACAGCATGTAAGTTTCCATGGCTGCCTATTTGCCAGAAATAGCTCTCCTTGGAATCCTTCTGCCACTGTTTGGGTAGGGTATATCCCCCAGGGGATGAGGAGTAATGGTTAGGGTCCTAAAGAAGGAAGGCTGCTTTCTGGGCACAGTATTTAGCAAGGGAAGCAGTCTTTCCTCTATCAAACGGGCTGGGGAATGAATAGTGGACTATCTCCCTTCCATCTGCCCAGATCCCTTCCTGTTTCAAGATTCCATCCTTCTATGACCAACTTTAAGAGAAGAATATGCCCCCACCCGACTCCCACACACATTTAAAGTTGCAGAAAGGAGCCACTATCTTGTGCTCAAGATGCCAAAGCTCCATCTAGTGCCACACCAACCCTGGGAGACAGCAGGGACTTGACTGAAGCATAGCTAGAGGGACTTCCTTTGGAGAAGGGGCCCTGCATCTCCCTGCATAGGAAGATTCTCATCCTGTTTAGAAAGCCTAGGAACTTCTGGCTGAATGGATCAATCTAGCCCTGACTGAGACTCAGATCCTTCTAGGGGAGGAGGAAGTGAAGAAGGACAGAGTGGGGAATGGCTCAGAAAGGAAAGTGACTTGCTCATTGTTTCCCAGGGAGCTATAAGTAGAATCCAGAAGCCCTAGCAACTTGAAAACACTCTCTCCCAGTGCCCCCAACCACAGCCCCATCACCTTTGAACACTTCCATCTCTGAATATACAGCCTTTCCCTCTCAATGTGAGTTAGTGTGAATCCTCTAGCGTGTATCTCTGAGGGCCAGAACTGGAAGCTGAGCACATATGCCCCAAGATGTTTCTCTGTTCAACACCTGGCCACCTCCTTTCCTTTCCTCACACCCATCCAGAGATGAGGACCAGTACCTGCTGCGGCACTCCAGTCCCATCACAGACCGGGAGCTAGGCTTTGGACAGCAGGCTCCATGCAGCATGGCCACGGAAAGCAAGGGGGAGCTAGAAAAAATTCTGGCCCACTTGGAAGATGAGAACCGGTGGGTGTGATGATGGCACAAATCTGTGTGAGTTCTGGAGACAGACAGCTTGAATTTGAGTCCTGGCATTTCTACAACTTAGCTGTGTGACCTTGAACAAGTTACCTATATTCTGTGATCCTCATCTGTAAAATGAAGATGGTGATAATAGAACCTACCTCCTAGGGTCACTTGTGAAGACGAAGTGAGGTCAGGCATGTCATGTGTTAGCCCAGTCCCTGGTGTATAGTAAGGGTTCAATAAATGTTAGCTATTATAATAATTATTTGAATCATTTAAATTTAACCCGATTTTTAAAAGAACACATTAGATGCAAGCAGAGAGAATGCAAACAGAGAAAACAGAAGGGAGTAGGACATGTCCCTGCCCTCAGAGAACTTTCAATGTTGGAAGTGGAAAGAGCTACTTATCACCTAGTGAAAGTATTCCAGAGGACAGTGACACTACACAAAGCTGTCATTTGAGGACTGGAAGAGGGAAGGTGCAGGAGATTACAGGGGTGGCATGAATCTCCATAAAGTAGGGGTGGGCAGCATGGACCTAAAGAGGGTCCAAGCCACTTTGGGGAAATGAAGTAAAGTTCATAGTACCACTTAGAGCAATGTTTCCCAACCACTAGTGTGCATATGAATCACTTGGGGAATTTGGTAAAATACAAATTCTGATTCACAGGTCTGGGTGGGACCTGAGTTTCTGTGTTTCTAACCAGTGCCCAGAAAATGCCCATGCCACTGGTCCATAGACCACACTTGGAGTAGCAGGTCCTTAGAACAGTGGTACTCAGAGTGTGGAGAGCAGACCAGGGCCAGTCTGTGACCAGTTTGTCACCAGTACAGAACAAAATAAATACAGAAATAGAAAGTAAGCTTTTAGGAACATTTACCCCAGTTTGACACTGCCATGTCATTCAAGCACAGAATTAGTGGACTTGTCTCATTGAATAGGGTAAAGACTAGTTTGAGTGTTGAATTTGTGTGGTGAACTGTATGTGGTGTGAGCTGTGTAGTAGTTGTGTGCATTAGGATCATATATTCGTTTATGTTACATCTTCCCCAAAAATGGAGTAGTCAGTAGTCCTAATGCCTCATTTATTTGCAGACTGTGTTTCTGCCTGATTTTAAGGTCAGAATTTATCCCTGAAGCAGTGCATCAAACCCCTGGGACTTTTTAAATGTGAAATGTCAGCTCTCTCTGCTCTGAGGTTTCAGGATGGAAGAGAAAATGACATAAGTGCTGGAGAGAAAGTGAATGTGGCCATTCAAGCAGGGGCATGGCTGGGGGTGGGGTGGGGTGGGATGGGAGAGAGCACAGGGTTGCTCACTCCTAGGCCTGAGGGGACATCTGGGGCCTAGACAGTCAGTACCGTATTAGGGCCATAGATCTTGGCTTCTTTCCCCTTGGCAGGATTCTCCAGGGAGAGTTGAGGCGCCTGAAGTGGCAGCATGAAGAGGCTGCGGAGGCACCCACCCTGGCTGAGGGCTCCGCCGAGGCAGCTGCAGATCACCGCAATGAAGAGCTTCTGGCTGAGGCCCGGATCCTGCGGCAGCACAAGAGCCGCCTAGAGACACGCATGCAGATCCTGGAAGACCACAACAAGCAGCTAGAGTCCCAGCTGCAGCGCCTGAGAGAACTGCTCCTACAGGTGAGACTAGAGACTGGAAAAGAACCAGGGAAGCCTCTGAGCACAGGGAAGGGCTGGGGAGTTGGGGGATGGGGGGATGTGCAGCAAAGAGGAGGCAAGAAAGAGCTTGGCAGTGGCTCTCAGGTGGCTTCCTGAAGAGAACTGGGCCTGCAGTTGGTGGGAAGCAGGGGATGGAAGGGACTGGTATGGCCACAGCCCCAGCCAATTATCTTCCACCTAGTTTTCACACCACCCTGTATGTCACTCTCAAGCCACTGCGGGGCCTGGGGCAGAGGGAGGACTTCTGAAGGCTCATTTCTTCACAACCCATTGGAATCCAGTACTGATAAGAACAAAGTTCAAAAATCATCCAAAATGTTGATTCTGCTAGTATGGTATTTGCTAGAAAGAAACAGGATTGGACATGTTTGGCAAGAGAAAGAATTGTGCTATAAAGGGACTTCTCTTGTTACTGTTTGCCCTTCTGTCTCTGAGAGGAATATGTATGCTGTGGTGTAGCTCTGGAGTCGAACACTCTAAGTTTGAATGCAGCTATGCCAATTAGTGGCTGTGGGGTATTAGGGCAATTATCTAACCTCCCTAAGCCCCAGTTTCCTCATCTATAAAATGGGGTACAAATACTATCAGCTTCATAGAATTGTGGTAACATAAAATGAGAAAATGCATTTGCAGGATTTAGCACGATGCCAGTACACAATAGTACATGATATAGTACACACTTCATAATGTTACCTATTATTGTCATTATATGTAACAGATAATACCATCACACTGTCTCTTCCCCAGATCCTCCAAGGAATGGCCTCTAAATGAATTTCTGGCGGTTTGTTTTTTTCTTTTTCCCTTTCTTTTTTTTGCCCCCACCTGGAGGTTTCTAACATATGCTATTAGGTCATGAACCAAGGATCAGGTGTGCAACTCTGCATTTCCAGAGAGAGTTGGGTTCTCAATAGCTTATTTATAGATGGCAGCTATAATTATAGCTGACAGCAAGAGACCTTTAGGTGAAAAGCCATCCTTATCAGAACTGGGAGCCTTTGACACCTGTTGAAGGAAGACGATAATGGGTAATTGAGTATTCTAAGAAGTTTCCTAAAAGTGGAAGTCACTGTTTTGCACACTACCAAAAGCTGCTTAAAGTTCAAGGGCAAAGGAGTGGGCATGAGGTCTTTCAGGTCCCTTCTAAGCTCAGTAGTCTGTCAAAGTAAGGTAGGGAAGGCGAAACCACCTAAGTCATGCCTCACCTCTTGCTAGCCACCCACCGAATCAGATGGCAATGGCTCTGCAGGATCGTCCCTAGCTTCCTCTCCACAGCAGTCAGAAGGCAGTCACCCCCAGGAGAAGGGACAGACTACTCCAGACACTGAGGCTGCAGGTGAGTTCCCCTGCCCTCCTCCACCAGCCCCTTCCTCCATGGCTTGTCTTGCCCCAGATTTCCTGCCCAAGATTTTGCTAAGGCTGGGACTAGTTTCTCCTCATGGCTTTGCACTTAAAGTCAGGAATCGTTAGTTTACTAATTGATTTATTCGTGTGCTTATTCTACAAAAATATATCAAGTGTCTCCTACATACTAAGCATTGTGCCAGGGAGATGCAAACATTGCAAGCAGGTCCACCCTTCATCCTCCAGTTCTCTTCTCAAATTTCTTTCTTTTAACTCAGATGATGTGGGGTCTAAGAGCAAGGATGTCAGTCTGCGTTTGGAGGACATCATGGAGAAGCTCCGCCATGCCTTCCCCAGTGTGAGAAGCTCTGATGTGACTGCCAACACCTTGCTTGCCTCTTGATGGAGCCAGATCTCCATCCTATAGTCCATAGTCCTCTCCTGGTTCCGATCAAAGCCTTCCCTCAGCCTTCACCCAACCTTCCCAGTTTCTATTGGCCCCACATTCCTCAAGCAAAGTTATCTGGGCTCCAGGCAGCAGAAGGGATCTGGTGGTATGTGAGGTGGGTGTCGGGGGGCAACAGGGAAAGGGAAGGCATGATTCCTCTGATTCTAGAAATGTTCCCTTTAATCTTTAAGTTTGAGACTGCTCCCTTAAGTACCCTTCTGTTGCAGCCCAGGCAAATGGTACTTGGCCATTCAGATGGGGAACAGAGAAGCTGACTTGTAGAGTTAAGCAGTGCCCACTGGCTCCTTTCCCTTTTCCATGGAATTATGGAGAGGGAGAAGCCTAATGACCCCAAGGTTCCAGCATCATGAATCCACAGGGGTTAACCCTATTTTCTCTGTCCCAACTCAGGGAGGCAACAAAGTATCACTGAGATACCCCTCCTCCCCAAGTGCCCCTGAAACAGTCTGGGCAGTGTGTATCCTATTACTCCAGCTCTGGGACAGATCTCTAGCCATTCTGATGCTGCCTAGATGTTGTTTCTTCTGCAAATACCTTCAGTTTCTTCTGCCTCAGTCCCTGGAAGACCTTCCTCAAGTTCATTTGGAAATATTAAAGATATACTTAATAGGTTTAGATATTTTGCCCCCAATCCTCCTATTTCCTGAAGGCCTCAGCATCCTGAGAGAACCACTAAGTTGCTCTGGAAACCCAGCTGAAACCACCCTTTGCTCCTCTGAGTCTGTCCTCACAGACATGGGGAAGGAATGGCAGATTGCTCAGCAAGGGGGTCTTTTTCTCCTTGGGTGAGAAAGGGGAAGCCCCCCTCTAGCCTAGAGGAGTATGACTGCCTAACACACTCCCAGGCTGTGACCTTCTAGCTCTTAGGCTGAATTAAGTGAGGTGGCTGATTGCTTCCAGCTAATTAAGGTATTTGCAACTGGCCACCATGAGTAGCTGCCTCTCCCTAGGGGCCCCTGGCCACAAATCAGGAAGCTGGCCACTTTCCATCCAGACAACAGTAAGGCCTTCCTATGCATAAAACTGTTCTAACTCTGGAAGGTGAACTCAATCTTCAAACTGAACTAACTCTTCCAAAGCAACATATACCATGATCCTTGTATCCAGAAACTGTAGATAGTAAGGGTGGGGAAGTGAGCTTGGGAACTTTGAACAAATTCAGAACCTACTTAGGTAGTTTTCTACGAAGAGGGGCTTTATAATCTAGAGCCCTGCAGTCAACTTAATTTGCCTAAGTTTATAGACATACATATCTATTCTACATATCTACTGTACATTAGTGCTCTCCTGGCCTCACTCACACATTAAATTCTAATACCTCTGGAAGTATTAATGTTCTGCCTTGCTCTTTGTTAGCCCCAGCCTCTGGGTGGAAAGATAGATAGATCCTGGCTGCTCCCCTAGGATGTCTCTCTCCATTGATGTTTGGGGTTGGTTGTCCTCAAGACCAAAGCAACAGAAGCCTATGACCACAGAAGAATCTAACAGGAAGAGTCACCATTCTCTTTACTCATTCCATATCTTGTTCCCTTGAGACCTGGGCCTTGGGTGAATTTTTCTGGGCTCCCTTAAACAATGATTCAGGTGCCAAAACAGAGCAAATGCAAGCTCTGCCTATCTCATGCAGAAAAGAAGAAACAAATAGACCTTTATTAGCCTTTGCCAGGCTAAGACACAGAGTACATTCTCTGGCCCCTTCCAATTTCTAAGTTCTGGCTCATGGCCTTAAAGAAAGCAGCAGTTGCCACCAAGATCAGGAGAGAGTGAGACAGTTGGGGTGTTGTGTTATAGTCAAGCTGTGGGCCAGTGTGTAGAACTGCCAGGGACCTGGTTTGATCTGCTGCAGGGGAGGTAGGGTGGTGGTGTGGGTTCAGAAGCTTAGGGTTGCCTCCTCCCCAACTAAGCCTCAGGTCTAGGGTGTCAGACCTCATACCACAATATTTGCTATAGTATTCATGAGGTCTCCAGATGGGAGCACTGGTATCCGGGTAGATGGTAAGCAGGTTAGGGAGGTATCAATCACAGAGCCTGGGCATCAGTTGGAGTAGGGGCATAATTGTAGGGGCCTAGATTGTGGACAGGACTGTGAGACAGAGGGCTCAGGGACTTGGAGGTATATGCCTGCTAAGCCTTAGAAGGGCAAATATTATGGAACAATCTTTTACCAGGAAAGTGCTGGAAAGTCCTTTCCCTTTCCCCTCTCCACTCCTCAACCAAGAGCTCTTGGGCTGCAGAGGGCCTGCAGCAACTGCAGTGAGCCAGGCATGGTAGAAAAGACGTATGTAGGATTTGTGTTGTGGGTGAACTTAAGCAGCAGGTCAAGAGTTGAATTCTCACTAAGGAGGTCACTGACACTTTAAGGGCCTGTGTTTGCCTTAATGTCTGAGGTGAGTATGTCACTCAAAGCCCAGTGACAGTCACTGTAGTATGTGTGGGAAGTTTGCCCTCAGTGAGATAAATGGATCCCTGGGCACTGTGAATCCAAATTGGGGTTGGATTTACGGAAATGTGTTGTATGTTGTTAGGTATCTGTTGTATATCATGTCTTCTAAAGGTATTGTATGTGGCACTGTGTGATTTATCTACATTGGAAGGGTGGTGAAGGGAGTTGCTGGGTTGATAGCCTAAGGAAAACCTTCTGACTGTGGGATTAGCATCAGTGATAAGAAATGTGAGTGTTTGCTGGGATTGTTGTCAAATAGTATCAGAGAACAGTTAGGGCTACTAATGGGCGATTTATCTGTGACAGAGTTTGATAGACACCAAAAAAGCCATTAGAGGGTACCTCTGCATCCAGCTAGAGCAGAGTGGATTCACGTTAATTGGGGATTGTTAGGGAAGGCTAACTGGCTGGGGGACATTAGACTGTGATATGGTTCCCTTAGGGAAGGTCCCACCCAGGAGGACATGTGCCCTTCTCTCCAGACTGGAAAGGCTAGTATCAAGGCCCTCGAGTGCCCATTTTCTTCCAGGCCCAAAGTTGGGAAATATTTCCCTGCAGAGAAACCTGTTTGAGTTGCCGGTGCTCTAGGAACTGGGCTGGCAGACCACAGCAATGAGAAACCCTGAGGCCAGGCAGAGGCCAATCCTGGAAGATGTTTTTCCCTCAGATTCATTTTAAGGAACACCTGGGCTTTCTGGGGTATGTGTTTGAGATTTGGGCTTCAAATCAGACTAGAGCATTATTTGAACTCGCCTTCTCAATGGCAGAGTCATGGCATCTGGGACCATTTCAGGGCCAAGACTCCCATCCAATTTCCCTTCTCATATGTGACAGATAACCAAGAAAGTAGCTACCTTAACATGGAACAATTCTGGGAGATAAACGGGGCCCTATGCTAGGGCTGTGGAAAGTGAGCTCCTCAGCTGGGCAGAGAACAAAGGAATACTTCAGCTACTTCTCACCCTTTTAACACCAATGGCTGTGGGAAAGGGAAAGGCTCAAGGCCAGGGCTCAGCTCCCAGGTCGGTCTCCTCCGCAGCTGCTGCATTTGGGAGGGGGCCCGGCTGAATGTCCTCACTGTCGCCAGGGCAGTATTGAGGCCACACTGAAGCCTGCTATTCTACTTGCTGGCTGCAAGAACTGGTCACAGGGATCAGAATTGGGGAAGGTATTCAGGGAGGTGGCAAGGGTGGCATGGAAGTCTACAAAAGTTTGGGACAAATGGGCAGGGTTGGGAACAAATTGGTTAACTTTGCCACTCATTGTGGTGCTTTCCCCCTTTCCCTTGAATTCTGCTTTGAACAGAATAAATTTGTATTTGTTTACTTTGTTCCTGTAGTCATATTCTTTGACTGATGTTTCACATCTTTCCCTTATTTGGAGGTAGGGAGAGAAGATGGACCAAGAAGCCACAGAAACACTAAAACATAAACCCATCAGATGAGTCCAACACCTATGGGACAAAAAAAGATACTTCCATTGGTCCCATCACCACTGTTACCTGGATGGGTCTCTCAAGCCCCCTCTCAAGCCTCCTCTCCCCAAATTAGCTAGCTATCACCTCATGGGATGAAATCTATATAGCAATGGTTTCCAGGGGAGGGAGTAAGGGGGAACACATTAATCTGAGGAATTTTTCACCAGCATGAAGCAATATAAGAAAAATCAAGACAATGCATTGGAGTTTCCATAAAGTTATATTTATTCAATTTAAATATCATTTATACTGAGATTATGACTTTTTTGTGTTAAAATGTCTCTGAATTAGTGGTGATAGCTATTTTAAATGCCACTTTCTGGCAAAATAAAATCCTGTCAGTTCCTCTGATCCCCACCACTGGTTTTTCTTTTCTCATCAAATTACAGCAGTACTGTCCAATATAAATATAATGCAAGCCACATATGTAGTTTTAAATTTTACAGCAGTCATATTAAAAAGTAAAAATAAATGGGAGAAATTAATTTTAATAATGTATTTTCGGTCATTCTACTAATTTTTTTTTTTTTAGTTGGAATCTCACTCTGTTGCCCAGGCTGGAGTGCAGTGGCACACTCAAGGCCACCCCAGCATCAACCTGTTGGGCTCCGGCGATCCTTCCGCCTCAGCCTTCCAAGTAGTCAGAACTATAGGCATGCACTACCACGCCAGGCTAATATTTTATTTATTGTAGAGACGAGGTCTCATCAAGTTGCCCAGGCTGGTCTCAAACCCTTGGGCTCAGGCAATTCACTCACCTTGGCCTCTCAAAGTACGGGGATTACAGGCTGAGCCACCAAGCCCAGTCTATATTTTCAGTCATTCTTAGTGATCTATCACAGAAACAAAGAACTGAATAACACATGTTCTCGCTCATAAGTGAGACCTGAACATTAATCACAATAGAACAAGGGAGGGATCAGCAGTCACAGGACACTGCCAGGGGAGGGAGTAAGGGGGAACACATAACAACACAAAGGGTATCTGGTCCTAAACCAGGGGAAGTGAGGACCAGTTGGAGGCCCAAACTTCACCTGCACATACAGTACTTGTGTACCTAACCCTGACTTGTATACCATATCTTTATAAAATAAAAATGTATTTTATTTAACCAAATTTGGATATAGTAACCCAATATATCAAAAGTTTATCCTTTCAACGTGTAATCAGCATAAAGCAATTATTGAGATTTTTATATATTTTTTTTTACTAATTCTTTGGAATTGTCAAGCAAGCTGACAGATTCAGCGGGTAAAAAACAAACAAACAAAACCAAGAAATGCAGATAGATTCAGATAGCTGATTCTTTATATAGACAGCAAAAGCAAAATCAGCGATGGTATCAGCTCCCTGCATCCCCTGTCCCACTGGATGACACTGAAACAAAAGGGGCCAGATGGCACCAACATCGATAGTGGAACTCCCTGGTGCTGCATAGCCAATGCCACACTGCAGCTAAGGAGTTTTATGGCCTGCAGCTGTACCCTCTGGGGTGGGGGATGGGACAGGCAGAAAGCCCTAGGCCTTACTGGAATGAGAGACAGATGAGCAACTGCCTCATGGCAGCCTCCCACCAAATAGAGAGGCAAGTGAGAAACAGTCTCGTAATGACTCCTCACAAGACTGCTTGTCTTCCCATGCTCTGGGAGGATCAAAGAGCATCCTGCCAAGGCCCAAGTCAGTCTGCAGTTGAGCCTTACCCACATGGCCCATGTGGATAGTGCAAGGTCATCAGGATGCCATCACAGAGCAGTTCCCCTACAGGGACCCAGTATATATTTTACACTTACTGCATATCTCAATTCAGGCTAGCCATATGTTAGATGCTCAAAAGCTGCATGTGGCTAGTGGATGCCATTATATGGAACAGTGCAGATCTGCAAAAGTCCGAATCAATGAGCTATAGCAGCCGGGCTCAGTGGCTCAGCCTGTAATCCCGCGCCTTTGGGAGGCTGAGTTGAGTGGACTGCCTGAGCCCGTGGGTTCGAGACCCACCTGGGCAACTTGGCGAGACCTCATCTCTACAATAAATCAAAAAATTAACCGGGCGTGGTAGCGCGCGCCTGTAGTTCCAGCTACTTGGAAGGCTGAGGCGGAAGGATCGCCAGAGCCCAGCAGGTCAAGGCTGCGGTGGCTTGGAGTGGCCACTGCACTCCAGTCTGGGCGACAGAGTGAAACTCCAACTCAAAAAAAAAAAAAATGAGCTATAGCAAAGGAAAACTTCCTGTGTACATGTGTGCAAGTGCACATTGAGATGGCACACAATCAGAGCCACAAAAACCTCGGGTAACTAGAGGGGCGTGGTGAAGCAGTTCCCTGGGTTACATTAAGAAGTGGTGGCAGAAGGGAGAGAAGGACATTTGCAACCACACTAGCTTGCCCGTGGCCCTTCCTGTTGTGTTGTCTCCCCTACACATCCTGCCTCTTAGCAGAGCTCTAGCTGCTTTCGGCCTGCAGTATTGGAGGCTGCATGAAGGCTCTTTTACCTCTTTCACTCCTGGAAGTCACCGGTGGCTCATGTACCACCTTCAATGGCCTCAGTCTCTCTGGCATGTCCCAGGGTACTTTCTATTTGTTTGTTATTGTTGTTTTTGAGTTGGAGTCTCACTCCATCACCCAGGGTGGAGTGCAGTGGCACGCTCACAGCCACCCCAGCATCGACCAGCTGGGCTTAGGCGATCCTTTCACCTCAGCCTTCCAGGTAGCCAGAACTACAGGCATGTGCTACCATGTCCAGCTAATTTTTGATTTATTGTAGAAATGAGGTTTCGTCAAGTTGCCCAGGCTGGCCTCGAATGTGCGGGCTCAGGCAATCCACTTGCCTCGGCTTCCCAAGTGCTGGGATTACAGGCTGAGCCACTGAGCCCAGCCTATTTTCTATTTGTTACCATACCAGTCTTCTGCCTTACTTTGTCTACGAGGCTTATCTTCTTTTCAAACTCTGGCTTTCCCCTACCTTTTACCTCTGACACTCAATCCCTTTCCCGAATTCTTTCTCCTTATTTTCATACTTTAGGTTCCTAGTTTCTGGAAAAAAAAAATGGTTTTTAAAAAAAATAATTCTTCGTTTTCAATGTGTCCTCTAACTTCTCTCCAAATCTTGGCTTCATCCTGTCTGCCTTTAACATCCCTGTCTCCCTCAGTCCTACTTCTCCCCCTGCACTGCCCCCAGTATTCCTGCTGTCTCCATCCCACCTCCACAGGCCGTGCCTACACATATTGGCCTCTTCTCTGCCCATGGCTGAACTTTATCTTGGAGTAGGAGCATTAAAAGCACAGAGAACTTGGGAGTACATTTCCTAAAGCAGCACTAACTTTGTCAATTTGGGTCACATCTGAGGCTAGCTGGGCTACTTCCAGAAAATTCTCAGATGCCTCTGTATGATAAGCATCATCACCCTTGATTTGCAGATGAGGAAACAGAGGCTCTAAGAAGCATAGAGATTTGCCCAAGACAAGTTCCAACCTTGTGTTTGTTTCACTACATAATAATTCAATCCAAATATTGGAGCTGCCATTTTATCACTTCTCTATACACCCCTTCTCCAAATTCCAATGCTATATGGTTAATACAAGATAATTAGCTTAGTTCATTAGGAGTTATCCTAAGAACTGTTTGGAAGGATGCCCATGACTGATGATATCTTCTGTCATTTTCTAATCAGAGTGAAATGGTCTGAATGTGTCCCCCCAAAAGGTGCATGTTGAAACATAATCTGCAATGTGTTGGTGTTAAGAGGCAGGGTTTTTGGGAGGTGATCAGGTCCTGAGAGGTCCACCCTTGTGAGTGGGATTAGTGCCCTTTTAAAATAAGCCTGAGGGAGCTCATTTACCCCTTCCACCATGTGTAAGGACGCAGCAAGAAGGCACCATCTATGAAACAAACAGAACCCTCACCAGATGCCAAATCTGCTGATGCCTTGAGCTTCTCAGCCTCCAGAACTGTGAGCAATACATTTCTGTTGTTTATGATTTACCCAGTCTGTGGTATTCGGTTATAACAGCCCAAACAAACCAAGACATAGATTTTATTGTTTGTCTCCTTGTTTCCTTTTCGATATGAGTGTGTTCATCATGGGGACGGTTTAATAAATTAACAGCAATCAATTTAAAAGAAACAATTTATTTATTGCTTAAAGAACATGGATCATGAAAATTTAATACAGCTGAAAAAGAACTCCAAACAACCTAAGGTTGTTAAGGAAGTTTTCATAGGCATTATAGGTATCTGGTTCTTCCTAACCTTTTCTGATGGGTGTTACATTGAGGAAGCTTATGATGAAGATAACAGCTCAGAATTTCTTCATCTCTACTCTATTCCCTTAGCTGGTGAATAACAACCAGCCCTTCCTAAAAACACAACAGCAGAATAAATGTAAGCAGAAGCAAGAAATCATCCCTGAGCAGGACAACAGCCCTAGTACCCGAACAGAGACTGGACCCAACCTAGTATTAACTGCTGCGAGGTAGGCATGTAAATTCACTGTGGAAGGTCCTAGTCTTTGGTAAAAATGAATTGATATTTTGTTTTTGTTTTAGGAAATGCTGCAAACAAACAGAAGAGTTAAGAAAATCTCAAACAAAGGGGCTAGAATGTCTGCCTTTGGCAAGAATGGTTAACTCATCTGCTGGCACCATAGCACAGAAACAGTATAAATAATTCCCATTTGGCACGGTGTTGTGTGCCTGTAGTTCTAGCTACTCAGGAGGCTGAGGTGGGAGGATGTGTTAAGCCCAGGAGTTCAAGTCCAGCCTGGGCAACACAGCAAGACCCAGTCTCCAAAATAATAATCACAGTAATACCAATTCTCAAACTGACAAAGATAAACTAAGCCCCATGATTGAATGGGGTCTTTTAAGTCTACTACTTTTTTTTTTAATACTGTCCCTTTTTATATGACTACAAACATCAAACATTATAACTAGCAAGAAAGGTGCTAACAAATACAGTTGATTTCACATAAGGCAACTGAAGGGTCAGAAACATGCACAATTTCATCCAGTCTTCAGGCTGGATGGTGAATCCAAGGTTTGTGTGCCAGGCTAAAGGTTCTCCTTACTTCAGAAAACATGTCAATTGTTCCTGGAGGGAAATGAGCTGTAAGGAGAGGCAGAAAACCATGAAAAACTTATCTGAATTCTTAAGTTTCATGACTTAATCTAGAATTTACTTACACGAAGCAAAAAAACTATTGTTATTTGGCATTTATAAGGTTATTTTAGTCTTCTAATGTTCCAAAGAACAATGCCACAATGAAGAATACATGTACAGTGTCGTGGCCATGACACTGCCATTTATTATGCCAAACTTATAAAAAGGAAGCTTTAAAAGTGAATCTGCTTTTAAAAACTGAATAGGTATACTATTAAGAATCTGTGCTTCTGTAAAGAATATACAGAGGTCACCACTCACTGTAGGGGCAAAGGAGATAGGATCACTGTAGTCATGTTCTAAGAGTAAGAGGATAAGGCAGTTGGTATAGTCTCTTGTCCCAGTGAACACAATGGGTCTTATATTGAGTATTACCTACTGCTTCTTGCCACATTATGAGACACTTAGAAACTGGGTCAGAGTCCTGAACATGATGTTCTACTTATGCTTTCTAAGTGAGAAGCCCTGAACCTTTTGTGGTATAGGATTTAATTTTTTAACTTGAAGTGGTAAAGTGATCAATAACATTCAGATATGTATATCCTCTTTGGAACAAATATTATTAGTTTTTCATAGGACATATTGTTCCAAAGATTATTTTTCAATATTATTCAATTTAGGTAAATTCATATAGAATTTTAGTCTTTGAAATGAACAGAATGGAGCATTGTAAAATAATCTTATGAGGTGTACATCACGTACCAAACCATTATAATTGCTGTGTGCAGTAACTCAGAGGCTCTTCTCACTCAGATGCTGTGACCCTTTGCTTGATCATGATTACAACCACTGACTGCTCCAGTTCTTTCTCCCTTGTAGGCTCTTTCTCCTCCTACCACCTGCTAAAGGTAGGTTTTTCCCCAGGTTCAGACTTCATACTGAACAGTCAACCTGGATAACTCATCTAACCCCACAACTTTAATGACCATTTCTGTCTCTCTTCAATCTCCCATTTTCAAAAGCACTTCCAACTAAACTCAACAACTTCTCCAACCCCCAGCCTCCCAAATCCTCTTTCTGTTGTCTTAATTTCAATTAATGGCATACTATTTACCATTTACCTAGGCTTTGGACTCATCTTTGTTTCCCTTTTTGTCTGTAAATTTAATCAATTGAATAAGTTCTGTTTCCTTCTACCACTTACACCTTCCTCTAGTCTCTCCCACTCCAATTTCTCCTATGTACTTCTGGCAGAAAAATCTTCCTGAGTTACTCCCTAGGTGAAAAGGTTTTGAAGGCTCATTATGACCTACACCAAGAATCTAAACCCTTTAGCCAGGCATCACCACCTCCAAGCCAGTATGCATGCTGCTTTCTCATAGGTCTTCCTGTTTTTAATCTCCTTATTCAAACCCTACCTACATGTTAAGGCCCCAAACATCATCTTCTCCATGAAGCCTTCCCTAATACCCAGGAACAGAAGTGAACTCTCATCCCCTTACGTCCCTGCCCCTCTCATGAATTTCTCCCCAAGTGCAGAGACTACATCATAAGCATTTTATAGCTGCCTGAAGAGCCTAGCTTAAAGTAGGCACCCAATAAATCTATGTTGAATAAATGAACTACCACAAAGGACTCTGAGTAAAGTTTATAGCTACATTTCTATGTTGAAAATAGCACTTCTCAATGCTAACTATAGTCACGCATTGCTTAATGATGGGGATACATTCTGAGAAATTCATTTTTAGGTGATTTCGTCATTGTACAAACATCATAGAGTGTACTTACACAAACCTAGATGGTACAGCCTACTGTACACCTAGATTATGTGGTATGGCCTATTGCTCTTAGGCTATAAATCTATACAGCATGTGACTACTGAATACTGAAGACAATGGGAACACAATGGCTAGTATTTGTGTGTCTAGACATAGAAAAGGTACAGCAAAAATAGGATATACAAAATTTTAAGGCCGGGTGTGGTGGCTCATGCCTGTAGCACTTTGAGAGGCTGAGGTGGAAGGGTTGTTTGAACGAAGGAGTTCGAGACTAGCCTGGGCAACATAATGAGACTGTATCTCTACAAAGAAAAATGTTTAAAAAATAGCTGTGCATGGTGGCATGTGCATGTAGTCCCAGCTACTCGGGAGGCTGAGGTGGAAGGATCGCCTGAGCTCAGGAGGTTGAGGTTGCAGTGAGCTGTGATTGTGTTGCTGCACTCCAGCCTGAGCAACAGTGAGACTCCAATTAAAAAAAAAAAGATGCTGGACTCGGTGGCTCAGCCTGTAATCCCGCACTTTGGGAGGCTGAGGTAAGTGAATTGCCTGAGCCTGTGGGTTTGAGACCTGCCTGGGCACCTTGGCGAGACTTCATCTCCACAATAAATCAAAAATTAGCCGGGCGTGGTAGCACCTGCCTGTAGTTCCAGCTACTTGGAAGGCTGAGGTGGAAGGATCGCCGGAGCCCAGCAGGTCAAGGCTGCAGTGGCCGAGAGCGGCCACTGCACTCCAGTCTTGGTGACAAAGTGAGACTCCAACTCAAAAAAAAAAAAAAAAGATTTAAAAATGGTACACTTGTAATAGAGTACTCACCATGAATGGAGCTTGCAGGACTGGGGTTGCCTGAGTTAGTGGTGAGTGAATGTGAAGGCCTAGGATATTACTGTCCACTACTGTAGATGTTATAAACACTGTACACTTAGGCTACACTCAATTTATTAAAAAATAAAGTGTGCTATAAGGTTATGATGGCTACAATGTCACTAGGTGATAGAAGTTTTTTAGCTCCATTCTAATCTTATGGGACCGCAGTTATATGTGGTCTGCTGTTGACCAAAATGTCCTTATCCTGATGTGATTGTACTTACATGAATGAAAACAAAGATGTATGGTAAGTAATAAAGCAATCTTGTCATTAATTGCTCACCTGGTTGGTTTTAAGCAGTCCTTGAATAAGTGATTTGCTGAGAAGAAGGATTATATAGAACATAAAAATTCCCCTGGCCTTGTGGGGACAGGGATGGGGAGCAGTACCTCTACCTTGAGAGCATTGTGCTAAGCCCATCTTCATAACACAACCTCCATATTCTTTAAAATTGTTACCCTCAACAGTATAGAGCTGGTGTCAGCATACATTTTCTTTTTTTCTTTTTTGAGACAGGGTCTCACTCTGTCCCCCAGATTGTAGTGCACTGTCAAGATCATGGCTCACTGCAGCCTTGAACTCCTAGGCTCAAATGATTTTCCTGCCTCAGTCTCCTGAGTAGCTGGGACTATATGGGTGTGTGCCACCACACCCGGCTAATTTTTTTTTATTTTTATAGAGATGAGATCTTGCTTTGTTGCCCAGGCTGGTCTCAAACTCAAACAGTCCTCCTGCTCTGGCAGTCCTCCTGCTCTGGCAGTCCTGCTCTGGGCTCAAGCAGTCCTCCTGCTCTGGCCTCCCAAAGTGCTGGGATTATAGGTGAGGCATTGCACATTTTCTGTACAGCTACATGACCCTTATTTATCCCACACTGCTGCTTCTCTTTTCACATGGTACACTCTCTTGTGGCTTTGAATAATATAGTTGTTGTGCAAGTTAGAAATCTGGAACTCATCCTTACATTTTCTTCTCTTTCAATACTCAGTAATTGACCGAAGCCCCATCAATTCTACCGTCAAAATACATTCTCTCATATATCAATGTTCGTAGCAGCATCATTCATAATAGCAAAAAGGGGAAGCAACCCAAATGAAACCCATATGAAAGGATAAACAAAATGTGGTATATACATAAAATGGAATATTATTCAGTCTTAAATTGAATGAAGTATTGATACATGCCACAACATGGATGAATTTTGAAAACATTTTGCTAGGTGAAAGAAGCCAGACTCCAAAGATAATATATTATATGATCCCACTTGTATGAAATAACCAGAATAGGTTGTAGATTAGAGAAAAGTAGACTAGTGGTTGTTTAGGGCTGGGCAGGGAAAAGACTCAGAAAAAATGGGGAGTGACTACTAATGAGTACAAGGTTTCTTTTTGGGGTGATGAAAATATTCTAAAACTGTGGTGATAGCTGCACAACTCTGAATATGCTAAAAGCCACTGAATTGTGTAATTTAAATGGGTGAAGTGCATGGTATGTATATTACATCTCCATAAAGGTGTTATAAAAACATTGTTATTGCAGTTTAAAAACCTATATTCTTGCTGGGCATGGTGGCTCATGCCTGCAATTCCAGTACTTTGGGAGGCTGAGGTGGGAGGATTGCTTGAGCCCAGGTGTTTGAGAACAGCCTAGGCAACATAGCGAGACCTTGTCTCTACAAAAAAATTTAAAAAATTATCCAGGTGTGGTGGTGCACACCTGTAGTCCCAGCTACTTGGGAAGCTGAGGAAGGAGGATCACCTGAGTACAGGAGGTCAAGGCTATGGTGAGTTGTGATGGTGCCACTGCACTCCAGCCTGGACAACACAGTAAGACCCCCAACTCAAATACTTTTAAATTTTAAAAAATCTATATTCTTTCCATCTCCACTGCCTCTGCCTTAGTCCAAGTTAGCATCATCTCTTATTAGACTACTACACAGCCTCCTAACTGGCCTCATTGCTTTACTTCTGCCCTCCTACAAACTATTCTCTAAATAATAATCAGGTTAATCTTTAACATTGAAAAAGGATATGATTCTCTTGCGTAAAATTCTTTAAGGGCTTTCACATCCTCCTTATCATGATCTGCAAAGAAACTTACATATGGCCTCTGCCTACTTCTCCAACCTTATGTTATGCCCTTCTCTTCCTTGCTTTAAATCCTCCCAAGGTCCTCAAAGAGGCTAAGTTCTTTCCCTGTGTAGGGCCTTGCATATGCTCCACTGAAGAGGCTCTTCATCCCACTCTGCCTGAACTTATCCTCCAGGTCTCAGCTTAAATATCACCTCCTTATAGAGGCTTATCATGATTCCCTGATTTAACTCAGGACTACTCTCTTTATTCTAATAGCACCACCAACTTTTTTTCTTCATAACACTTCTTCACAATTTGTACCTTTATATTTGTACAGTCTGTTTACTGTCAATTTCCCCTGCTAGACTGTTAGCTCCATGAGGACAAGTACAGCAGGTCTTCAAATAACATTTCATTTTCATTACAGTAAGTCCTCACTTAATGTCATCAACAAGTCCTTTGAAGCTGCAACTTTAAGTGAGATGATGTACAAAAGGTCCTCTAATAACATCTAGTTCAATGTTGTTTTGTTATAACTTTGCCAAGAAAAAAAATTGCTTCCCACCGGAGCCACTGCTTGTGTGGAGTTTGCACATTCTCCCCATGTCTGCATGGATTTTCTCTGTGTGCTCTGGCTTCTTCCCACATCCTGAAGATTGTGCACATTAGGTGAATTGGTATGCCTGAATGGTCCCAGTGTGAGTGAGTGTGGGGTTTGTATGTGTGGGTGTGCCCTATGATGAGATGACGTCCTGTCCAAGGCTGGTTCCTGCCTTGTGCCCTGAGCTGCTAGGATAGGCTCTGGCCACTCTCAACCTTGAACTGAAATAACTGGTTAATAATTATCTTACTTATTTTTACTACTCTTTCCTAAATGTACGTATAGCTCACAGTTTTTCAATGTTTATTATTAGAAGTGCTTTGGTTTTTATTTAGATGTTTGGTGATATTTTTTGACCAGAAATATGCCATAGGAACTTAACTCTTGTTTGTATCAATTAGCCTATGGTAAAATTGGTTTTGTTATACATTATTTCACTTAAAGTTGCAGTTTCCAAGAACCTATTAATGACGGCAAGTTAGGACTTACTGTATTGTATCTGTCTTATTCAACACTGTACATCCAGTGCCTTTAACTTTATAGGCATGCAATATCTGTTGAATGAGTGAATTTTCACAAATACCTTGTTCCACCCTGTTACCCTCATTTAGAAGATTTGACCATTCCTATTCCTGTGAGAGGAACATCCAGAAATAATATTGGGGGTAAGCCGGGGATTCTTTGTATCAAATGTTTTTTGGTTAACGTGAAAACATACTTCCTTACCTGCTCATTTGTTTGCTTTTCCTGTAACTTAAGCTGCTCCAGCATAGTCCGTAGATGTTTCTGGAAAACAAATTGTATCAGTTAGTCTCAAAGGAAAAAAGAACCAAGGGGGACAAGGAGACTGGCAAATAATTTGTAAGCAAGAAAACAAAAGAGCACTTTGGGGGGAAGAAAGATTTAGAGTATAAAAATCACATTCCCTAACTACAGTGGCATCCTATTTGATTTTATAAACGCTATACAGCATTTTCTTCTTGCCCTAAAATAAATGCTTAAAACGCCTTAATGTTATCTTTTTCTAGTGTAGCACACAAGCTCTTTGGCTGTTGTGACCTGTCAGATAAGCTGGCTTAGAATCTGATGCCGAAGACTCCTCCATTTTTTCTCACTAGGGCAGAATATTACTATTCCTAACTAGTGCTACATGCAACAATAATAATCACGATAATACCCTGTATCTGTATCTTTCAAAGTGTGCCCATATCTATTATCTTACTTGATTATTCTACAGGACAATACCCAAAATGGGTATAGCTCTGTATCGAGTTACTACCCTTTGATAACTATAGCTTTATAGAAAATGAAATCTGGCAAGGGATTCTCCAAAGGCTTCAGAACTTTCCTCATTATAAAAAGGGAAGCAACCATGGCCTAAACATGCTTTCTGAAGCTCTTAAAAATGTATTAATAAAAATAAAGCAAGATATGTATTCTTGCTCATGCATGTACTGAAAAATTTAAAAACTCATTTAATTATCTTTTACTGTAATGAATAAATTTTGATACAAACAGCAGGGATCAACCTATACCCTATCATTTACTGTGATCTTTGGCAAGTTACTTCTTTTGAGTTTCCAGTTTTTAATCTATAAAATGGGAATGGTGACAGTATCTATGTTTCAGGGATGTGAGGATAATAGGAGCTAATACATGTTCAATTCTTAAGTCTTTATGTGCCTTTTATATAGCAGATGCTTGATATTAGCAATTATTATCTCAAATCACCTGGTCTCTTTCCAAAAATGCTTATACTAGATGATCAAAAGTACTCAGGTGAAAGGAAAGAGGGATCTCTTTTATTGGGAGTTTCTAAGAGTCTGCTTAGGTTCATGAGTGAACAAGAACACTGCTAGAGATGACATAAGAGGAAACACAAAGACAGGATATTTTGAAAGTCATATATCAGGATTTCTTTTTACCAGCCAACAAGAATTTACCTTGAGTATCTGGTTTTCCACTTTCATGATGAGATCCTTCTGTCTCTGTGCTTTGTTCTGAATCTTGTAGAGCCTTTTCTCCATGTAATAAATCTGCTTCTGAATGTTCATGACTAACAGAGACAGACACAAACTTTATCTAAATATGGCCTAAACTAATGGACTGAGATCCAAATCAAGTAAAACTCTTATACATCTGAGAAATCACTTCTCAAACTTAGCCTTGCATCTAACTTGTGTTTAGAGCAGCCTTTGGCACTGCCACCTACCCTCTCCCATCCCTTTGTCTTTTCCTATGACTTACCTATTGGACCGGCGCCTTCCTTTGCCTCATACTGGCCAGATTCAATAAACTTGGCTTGGAGCTCCCTCTCCAGATCTTCAGAATCCTCCTCCTCCTCCTCTTCTTCTTCCTCTTCTTCATCCTCCTCCTCATCATCCTCTTCCTCTTCTTGCTTCTCGTCATCATCCTCATCCTCATCATCATGATCACCACTGTGACCGCTAGAGTCACTAGACACCTCCCGAAGCATGCCATATGCTATAGGTTTTAAGCAAGAGGAAGGTGAAACTATCTGAAGCTTTGCAAGTGACTCATACTCCAAATACAATTATACTCTTTATTTTCAAACTCACTGGACAACCAGTGAATTTTATTTTAATTAATTAATTTTATTTTATTTTATTTATTTTTGAGTAGGAGTCTCACTCTGTTGCCCTGGCTGGAGTACAGTGGCACTCTCATGGCCACCGCAGCCTCAACCTGCTGGGCTCAAGTGTTTCTTCTGCCTCAGCCTTCCAAGTAGCTGGAACTAAAAGCGTGTATCACCATGCCCAGTTAATTTTTTTATTTCTTGTAGAGACAAGGTCTTGCCAAGTTGCCCAGGCTGATCTCAAACTTCTGGACTCAGGCAATCCTCTCTTCTTCACCTCCCTAAGTGCTGGGATTACAGATGTGAGTCACTGCGCCCAGCTACCAGTGAATTTTAAAAATAATTTTTCCTGCAGGATGATCATTCCCTTCACAAAACAATGACAGGAAATGCACATATTCGATGATGAAGACATGTAGAGAATCTAAGGGTGCAAAGGAAGTTAGAATACCAGGGGTGGATGGAAGATCAGAATGCCAATCTGAAACCCCTAAAGTGCTGAGGGACCAGTAAGAGGGAAGAAGGGCAGAGGCATCCTTTTTCTGTGATTAGCCTGTGAGTTTAGAAATGATTTGAAACCCAGTCAACACCTCCCCTATCTGAAGTGCCCGCTTCCCTTTACTAAAGTACCTGATGAGATATGACCCAGTTTGTACTCACTTGTTCCTGGAGACAGCTCAAAGCCTGGAATAAAGCCTTGACATTCTATTTCTTTGGTTTCACCTTCAGCAATGACTTCCCATCCTGAAAGGAGGGGGCAGTCAAGGAAAACACAGAAGGAAAGGAGAAGACACAGCTGAGAGGAAGAAGTTCTTTGGGTAAAAGTGCTATTTCATTTAGTCTAACTTTAGGCCATTTGTATCTGAATTCCTAGTTTGGAGAAGTGAATTTTCAATTAAACAAGCACATAAATTTCTGTTATATAAATTTATTCTTCCTAGCTAGAACACAAATTTCCAAAACCTTAAGTTTTACATATCAAAACTGGCACACAAATACCAGAGGTGAGAGTTCATCAGCACGTGCATATAGGGTGGAACAGACTATGCAGAAAATATTTTTTAAAAGGATACGGGCACTTACAGCTTCAGCATCTGAACACAGCAATCTTTTTACCTCCCTTTCCACATCTGGAGAGTCAGTGGGCTGAAGCAAAGTGGGGGAGGTGATGCCAGTATTGTCATTTAATGCCTTTTGTTTTTCAGGAGTGTTCTTTTCCTACATACCAATGAATTCAAATGATTATACCTTTAGATGCTCATCCAACCAAATTTCTACTTCAAGTAGTGCTATTTATGAAGGAATCTTTACACACGGGTCTAGAATTTTGTACAGTACACTTATTTTTCCCAATTAAATTATTTGAGACATTTCATCTTTTTAATCTGTAACTCTATGGTAAAGACCACTCTCAGAAATACAATCCTTAGATCTCAGTTATTAATTATTTGCCCTGATCCATATTGGCAAAGAACTATAATTATTCATTATTTAGAAGTAAATTGGTTTAAAGATACAAATTCCCAGATTTCATTTCCCCACATCTTTATTACTAGAGATGTTCCTACAAAAACTGGATCTTAGCTACACAGTCTCCCTTGAATCCAGTTTTAGATAATTATCTCCACAGCAACCAATTTGCCATGCCACAAATAGAAATTAGGACTTGGAGGGGGAATAAGCAATTGCAAACAATTGCTGTTAAAAGTGAACCCTGGCTTCCAAGGAATGGCTTTTGAAATAAATATCAGAGAAAAAAACAGATTAGAATATACAGGGTCAATAGCCAAATTCCATCTTTTCCTCTAAAGAGGAGTTATCAAACATTAAAGGATGAATTCAGTTTTCAGTGAAATCAATCTAATGTACGGGTATGGAAGTGGGTGTTAGAGGTGAGAGGGAAGGCTCAAAAGTAACTTTTATGATTTATTTGGTTTGTTGGAACTAGTGAGCTATGAAATAAAACACATTAAGGGTAAACAATGACATTATGATTGGTCTACCTCAGTAAAGCTTGCTTCTTCCACTTGTTTGCAATCAGCAGGCTATAAAATAAAACACAACCAACAATGAAGTTATAGTATGACTGATCTACTTCAGTAAAGCTTAAAGAACTCTACAACTATTCTTAATTTAACTTTGCATTTAGTAGGCACTCAGTAAATGTTGTTGACCAACAGAGTATAAAAAGCTAAGACAACTATGTTCATGGATTGGAAGATTCAACATAGCAAAGATGTCAATTCTCCCCAAATTGGTCTATATGTTTAATGCAATTCCCATTAAAATTCCAGAAAGGTTTTCTGTAGACATAGACAAGCTTATTCTGAAATTTATATGGAAAAGTATAGGCTCTAGAATGGCTAAAAAATATTGACAAAGAAAAACAAAATGGGAGCAATAATTCTTCAGATTTCAAGACCTAGTATATAGCTACACTGTGATATCAGTAAAGGACTCAACACATGGATCAGTGGAACACAATAGGAAACCCAGAAATAAACTCACACAAATATGCCCAACTGATTTTTGGCAAAGATGCAAAAACAAAACAACAGAGGAAGGACAGCCCTTTCAACAAATAGTACTAAAGCAATTGGACATTCTTAGGCAAAAAAATCATTGAACTAAACCTCATACCTTCTACAAAAATTAACTCAAAAATAGAAAATCTTCAGAATCTCAGCAAAGCAATGAGTTCTTAGATTTAATACAAAAGGTAATATCCTTCAAAAAAATCAACTAATTGGACCTCATCAAAACTAAAAATTTTTGCTCTTTGAAAGACCTTGAGAAGTGGATGAAAAGACAAGCTACAGACTAGGAGAAGGTATTTACAAACTACATATCTGGCAAAAGACTAGTAGTATTTAAAGACAAAGAAAACTCTCAAAATTCAACAACTTAAAAAATCAATTTAGAGAATGGGCAAAAGGCATGAACAGATATTTTGCTGAAGTGGATATACAAATAGAAAACAAGCATATGAGATGTTCAACATCATTAGCCATCGGGGAAATGTAAATTAAGACCACAATGAGATCATTACATACCTATCAGAATGGCTAAGAAAAAATGACAACAACATCTAATGCAGATGAGGAAGTGAAGAAACTGGATCACAAATATATTATTGGCTGGAATGTAAAATGGCACAGCCACTCCAGAAAACAGTAAGATAGTTTCTTATAAAAGTAGACGTGCAAACTACCATATGACTCAGTGATTGTATTCCTGGGCATTTATCCCAGAGAAATGAATATTTGCACTGACACAAAAATCTGTTCACAGCTTTATTTATAATAGTCAAAAACTGGAAACAATGGAGATGTCCTTCAATGGGTGAACAGTTAAACTGTGGTACATTCATACCATGGAATACTATTCAGCAAGAAAAAGGAACAAACTAGTGATACAGCCAAAACTTGCATGAATCTTAAGGAGATTATGCTAAATGGAAAAATAAACTAGTCTTTGGTGTAATATACTATATGATTCCATTTATATAACATTTTCAAAATGACAAAATTACAGAAATGGAGAACAGCTTAGTGATTGCCAGGTGTAGGGACTGGGGGTATGAAGTGAGAGGGAGGTGGAAATGGTTATATAAGGGCAGGCTAAGTGATTTTTGTGGTGATGAAACTGTTTAGTATCTTGACTGTGTAAGCAGATACGTGAACCTACACGAGACAGAATTGCATAGAGTTAAACACACGTACACAAACACACAAATACAAGTAAAACTGGAAAAATATGAATAAGATTGGTGAATTATGATGATGTCAATTTCCTGTTTGTGATATTGTACTATAGTTCTGCAAAATGTTACAGAGGGAAAACTGGCAAAAGGGTATACCATATCTCTCTTTTATTTCTTACAACTGTATGTAAATATACAATTATTTCAAAATAAAATGTTTAATTTTTTAAAAAAAGAAACCAAGCCACACTACTCCTGAAGCTTGTTTAAGGTTCTACAAGCCTAAAGTAAAGTTAGGAGTATAACTAACTACAATTTTCAATTTTAAGGTTTTGGATGGGTTCACTTTAAAACTAGATCTTGCAATAAAAAACTGAAAGCAGAAGTTTCAAATGTAAAATTCTTTCAAACCCCCAACGACTAACCTATAACCTCAAGGATCAAGTCTGTTTTTATTCACTGCTATTTTCCCAACCGCTAGTACACAGTGCCTGGCATTTAGCTCATACTCAATAAATGTTTATCGCACATATGAATGAATGAACAAATTAATTCCCAACAGATTTCTCCCTTTCTTTCCCACACATAATCATCTTCTAATCCACCCAGCAGATACACAAATAGCATGCAACTAACCTTTTTTTTAATTTTCCGGAATCTTTTCTTTCTGACATTCTTAAGTGGTGGAGTAACTAAAATAAATACAACATGGTGAAATATATACATGACTGATGGTAGTCACATATCTATCTGAATTTGATAAAGGGAAAGATCATGCTATAAGCCACTGGCTCATGACATGACTCCTTCCCTTAAGAATGTATGAGAGCAGCCGGGCTCGGTGGCTCAGCCTGTAATCCCGCACCTTTGGGAGGCTGAGGTGAGTGGATTGTCTGAGCCTGCGGCTTCGAAACTCGCCTGGGCAACGAGACCTCATCTCTACAATAAATAAATAAAAAAATCAGCCGGGCGTGGTAGCGCATGCCTGTAATTCCGGCTACTTGGAAGGCTGAGGCGGAAGGATCACTGGAGCCCAGCAGGTCAAGGCTGCAGTGGCTGGGAGTGGCCACTGCACTCCAGTCTGGGCGACAGAGTGAGACTCCAACTCAAAAAAAAAAAAAGAATGTATGAGAGCTCAAGTATGTAAGAAGTCCTTGGACCACAAGGAATTAGGATTTAACAGATAAAAGTAGTCAGAATGAGCAAGGGGCTGGTAACTCACTGCCATGCTTCCAGATATATTTTTTCTGTTTCTCCTTTTCCTTTTTCTCAATTTCTGTAAGATCAGTAGGGGTAACTGGTTCTTCTGGAGAAGAGTGCTGATCACCATCATCAGCAGTGCACACAAGCATCTACATTTAGCAAAGACAGGGAAGTTGTCTATGACTGCAAATCTTGGGTCAGCAACAAATCATAATAATTCTTACCACCAGAAATCCTAGAGCACAGAAGAAACTGATTCTTCACACTTCCAGAAAACCAGGTATTATGCAATAATACCCATTTAGATTATCTTGTATTCATATTCTCTCTCTCCCTTTCACCCCCCTCCAGCATTATATATGAACTCTGAGGGTTGCTTTTAGCTAGAGTGCTCACCCCTGCTGGGGGAATATATTGAAAACAGATATATCTTGGCATTTTGATTTAGAGAGGAAACAAGAGATCAACAACAAAGATGGTGAATAAGAACCAACTTAAACCTCCAGAGTTATCAGCACATTGCTTTAGCAGAAAGTTCAGAAGAATATCCCAGCTGTTCATATGTTTTAATTAAAGAAAAGTCACTATAAATGGCAAACAGGGAACTCTACAAATTATCTGGATAAAATAAAGTACTGAAAAGCTAAAGATTAAACACCAAACCAGAAAATGTCATTTCATTTCTGTGCAATTAATCTGGAAATTAGAAGTGACAAGCAGCCATTCACCTAGTGGAAAGGAGTACTGAAAGAAAAATGGAGGGAGAAAAGGATTCCTCGAAGGATGTGAGAGAAAATCAATTAAGAAAACTAGTTCATACCTGGGAAATATTTGCTGTTTTATAAAAGGTTTTTTTATCAAGCGTTTTCAGGCTTCCAATAACACAAGGCAAGTCAACTAGTTTAGCAGTTAGTGAGACATCTTCTATCTCAACAGTTGCGTGACGCTTATCAGCTGAAAAGAAGTAAAGAAGATTAAAGTTGACATCTTCCCAATGAACTCTCAAGCCTCCTAAGGTTTAAATAATGAAGACTTATGTAAGACACACTAATCTTTCAGTGAAACCTATTTCTCATAATGCTAGAATTGTGTACACAATTACGAACTTCCCATAGAAAAGAAGGGAGAGTATGTGGAGCTCTCTTTTCCCAATTTATGTCACTCATTCATAGCTGTTTCTTGTTAATGGGTGTGAACTAAATGTGGGTGAAGTGGCAAATGTCTCATTCTCATCCTGAAAGGCAAATTCTATTCATTTAAACCCATTCATTTTTTTAGACTATTCAATCATGTCATTGCACATGTGTTTTTTTCAAAGGGCTGAGTGAGAGAAGGTTGGTGTTAGAATGGTACTACTAAATCTCAAGTTAAAATCTCTAATTAGCTTCACAAAGATAAAATTCTATACAACAGCTATATACTGAACTCTGAATTCTGCTCAGATATCTCAAACGTGAATGTCACTTAACACATGAGGATTCAGGTGTAATCTAATGTTAAGTGAAAAAAGAAAGCTGCAGAACCATGCTGATAGTAGTTATCTTTGGCATCAAGGTTGGAGAACTGTGAGGATGTAGGGTTTCATTTATTCTTTTGAACTTTTTATTGAATATTCTCCATTTTTCTGAATTTTATAACCCTAAACTTGTACTATGTTTTTGTTAACAAGAGTTAGCTGAGTGATGGGATTATGGGCTACTTTTTGTTTTCTTCTTTATATATGTCTTTGTATTAACACAAAAATAACAGATATTATTTATGATATATGTGTTTCAGACAGACAAGCCTCATCTGAAAACATGTATTTATTGTTTAGATTCTTTGCCCATTTAAAATTGGGTTTTCTTGAGCCAGGTGTGGTGGCTCACACCTGTAATCCCAGCACTTTGGGAGGCAGAGGCAAAAGGATTGCCTGAGCCCAAGGGTTCAAAATCAGCCCTGAGAAACTTGGTGAGACCTCATCTCTACAATAAATCAAACAATTAGCTGGGTGTAATGGTGCATGCCTGTAACTACAAGTACTTAGAAGACTGAGGCAGAAGGATTGCCTGAGCCCAGCAGGTCAAGGCTGCAGTGGCCGTGAGTGTGCCACTGCACTCCAGCCTGGGCAACAGAGTAAGACTCTGACTCAAAAAAAATAAATAAATGAATAAATAAAAAAATAAAATTGGGTTATTTTCTTGTAGTTATATGTTTTCTTCCTTTTTATTTGTCTTGTACTGTCACCCAGGCTGGAGTGCAGTGGTACTAACATAGCTCACTGCCACCTCGAACTCCTTGGCTCAAGCTATTCTCCTGCCTTAGCCTCTTGAATAGCTGAGACTACAGCACATGCTACATGCCAGGCCAATTCCCTAATTTCTAATAAAATTTTCACTCTACAGCTGACTTTTATTTTATATATATATATGTCACACTTTGTCACCCAGGCTGAAGTGCAGTGGTGTGATCATAGCTCACTGCAGCCTTGATCTCCTGAGCTCAAGTGATCCTCCCACCTCAGCTTCCTGAGTAGCTGGGACTATAGCGTGCACCACCATGCCCAGGTAATTTTTAAAATACTTTGTAGAGATAGGGGTCTTGCTATGTTGCCCAGACTGGTCTGGAACTCCTGGCCTCAAGCGATTCTCCTGTTTCAACCTCCCAAAGCACTGGGATTACAGGTATGAGCCACCATGCCCAGCCTATATTTTCAATATTAACCCCTTATCAGGTGTATGGTTTGAAAATATAACAAACGTTATTTAAAATAAACAAATATATGTCACCTATGTAAACAGAGAACAGCATATCCATTTGTCATTCTCTTGGACATTCATAAACCATAAAGCATATATACAGGAGACTACCAGCAGTATGAAAATCTCACAGGTGAATCCAGGTTCTTCCTTATACACACTATAATAATTACCTGAAGTTGCATAATTCCCACTTCCTTTCCTTTTAAGGGGATTTAAGCCTCTCTAAACCCTGAGTCCATCAAGGTAAAGATAAAATTCTACACGTATTATTTTTTCACATCCTTAGTCCTAGTATAGTGCCTGGCACAAAGCAATCCCTTAATAAATAGCAATGTATGGTGAAAGGATAGTAACTACTTACGAGATAAGTCAATTTTGAGTTTATCCTTCATGGTGACACTTCTAGAATGTACTAGGCTTCTGACAATACAAGCATGTTCCTAAAAAGGAGGTAAATTGAAAAATCAGAAGAATTAATTGTCTACTTGGCAGCTAATAGATATATCAAACAAAGCTCTCTCTTAAATAAAACCTAGGCCGGGCTTGGTGGCTCAGCTTGTAATCCCGCGCTTTGGGAGGCTGAGGTGAGTGGACTGCCTGAGCCTGTGGGTTCGAGACCCACCTAGGCAACTTGGCGAGACCTCATCTCTACAATAAATCAAAAATCAGCCGGGTGTGGTAGCGCACGCCTGTAATTCCAGCTACTTGGAAGGCTGAGGCGGAAGGATCACCGGAGCCCAG